TACACATACATTTTACAACTTGGAAATCAATAATAAATTTGGCCTAATGTAATGGATTCTGATAAGTAATCAAAATCAAACTATTATAGTAATTTTCTTAATTTATAATATATAATTATATTGTTTGTTACAGTTATACAAATTACAAAAAGATAAGTAACAAACCATGAATTACGATCTGAAATGGAATGGAATTCATAAAAAAAGATCTCATTCCTTATGTTATGTAATCTGATTGTAATAATATTTAAAAGATGCAGAATATCCGTGAGTATTATTCCTTTGCATTACAAACTAAGATGGACCTGACGAATAATGTTTTCACTAGATAATGTGTTTAATTCACAATATATATAACTCAGAAGAACCCCTAATAAAAATAGTTTAATAAACAATAATACTCTATATATACTTGAGTCTATTTTCTCATTCCCTCTCATCCTTGAATCTGATTGGCTTTTGTCCCATAAATATCTCATAAGGTTTGTCTCATTTCTCATTTTATAGTTTGATTTTTCTTCAATTTATTTTTCAGTCAGTCTATAGAATTCCCGGTTCCATCGGCCCAACAGAATTACAATTTTCTTTTATTTTAATAAAAATGTTACACCCTTGATGATTGATCAGTGACCATGGCGGGTCGTAACGTAGAGAAGAAGGCATCGATAGATGCACAGCTTCGGCAACTGGTTCCTGCTAAAGTGAGTGAAGACGACAAACTTATCGAGTATGATGCTCTTCTCCTCGATCGCTTCCTCGACATTCTCCAAGATCTACACGGTGAAGATCTACGTGAAACGGTAAAACAATATCCCTTTGAATAGATCAAACCCTTTTTTTTTTTGTTTCCATGAATCTTTGTTGGTAAATCCGCAATAACTTGTGAGACACGGAACCCTTGACATTGATCATGTGCATATATATAGATTCAAGAGCTATACGAGCTCTCTGCTGAGTACGAAGGCAAACGTGATCCTAAGAAACTTGAGGAACTAGGGAAAGTCCTTACGAGTTTGGACGCTGGTGACTCCATTGTTATCTCCAAGGCTTTCTCACACATGCTTAACTTAGCAAACTTGGCTGAGGAGGTTCAGATTGCTTACCGCCGAAGGATCAAGAAGCTTAAGAAAAATGATTTCGTTGATGAGAGCTCTGCAGCTACTGAATCTGATATTGAAGAGACTTTCAAGAGGCTTGTTTCTGATCTTGGTAAGACTCCTGAAGAGATCTTTGATGCTTTGAAGAATCAGACTGTTGATCTGGTTTTAACTGCTCATCCTACTCAGTCTGTGCGTAGATCTTTGCTTCAGAAGCACGGCAGGTTAGTTTTCTTACTTTCTATTAGTGTTATAAAAATTGATATAGATGGCATGGCACCTAGTCGGCAAATCGAGTCTAAACAAAACAATTTTTCTAGAAAGATTTTTTTTTTTTAGAAACGGATAGTTGTTCAAAAAATCGGTCTAGACACCCGCCTAAATAATTATTGTTTATAAGGCGTCTAACCACCCCCTAACGATTTCTTGAATATTGCTTTGTGTAGAGATATCAATGTGACAACTCTTTTGACCTTAAAATGATTTCTTAAAATGATTTCTCAGGATAAGGGACTGTCTTGCTCAACTGTATGCAAAGGACATTACTCCTGATGACAAGCAGGAGCTTGATGAATCTCTGCAAAGAGAGGTAAGTTACTCAACTTCACTGAGTTCAAACATGTTGATTAGTGGATTTTTTTTTTTTTTTTTAAACAAACTCTCAACTCTGTGTTTAGATTCAAGCTGCATTCCGCACAGATGAGATAAAAAGAACACCACCAACCCCACAAGATGAAATGAGAGCAGGAATGAGCTATTTCCATGAGACAATCTGGAACGGTGTCCCTAAGTTCCTTCGCCGTGTGGACACAGCTCTTAAAAACATTGGCATTGATGAACGTGTTCCTTACAATGCTCCATTGATTCAGTTCTCTTCATGGATGGGTGGTGATCGTGATGGTACATTCACTTCTGCCATTACTAACACACCAACCCCTCTCTCTGTTTTCTTTTTTTTTTGTTCACTCTCTAACTAACTTAAATGAATTTCAGGTAATCCAAGAGTCACACCTGAGGTCACTAGAGATGTATGCTTGTTGGCTAGAATGATGGCTGCTAATCTCTACTACAACCAAATAGAGAATCTCATGTTTGAGGTTTCTTGCTCAACAAGATAGTGTTTTTATCAACTCTCTCTCAAGATCCTTTTGATTCATTCTTTTTTTCTTCTTGGCAGTTATCTATGTGGCGTTGCACTGATGAGTTCCGTGCCAAGGCTGATGAAATCCACAAGAACTCAAGGAAAGATGCTGCAAAGCATTACATAGGTTTGAAGCACAAAACCTTTTATGAATTTTTTTTCTTTCTTGCAAGACACGTAGGTAGACAATGATATTGCTTTTCCTTCTCAAGTTATATGTTCTAACTCAATGCAGAGTTCTGGAAGACAATTCCTCCAACTGAGCCATACCGTGTGATCCTTGGTGATGTAAGGGATAAACTCTATCACACACGTGAGCGCTCTCGTCAGTTGCTGAGTAATGGAATCTCTGACATCCCTGAAGAAGCCACTTTCACCGATGTGGAACAGGTAAAAAACCTGTTGTTGCATGATTCTAACAACATGTTAGTTCTTGCCATTGTGTTTACAGTTCTTTGTTCTATTAACACAGTTCTTGGAGCCTCTTGAGCTATGTTACCGATCACTATGCTCATCTGGTGACCGTCCAATAGCTGATGGAACCCTTCTTGATTTCTTGAGACAAGTCTCTACCTTCGGACTCTCCCTTGTGAGGCTTGACATTAGGCAAGAATCTGAACGCCACACCGATGTCTTGGATGCTATCACCAAGCACTTAGGCACCGGTTCCTCTTACAGAGACTGGTCTGAAGAGCGTCGACAAGAATGGCTTCTTGCTGAACTAAGCGGCAAACGTCCACTCTTCGGACCAGATCTTCCCAAAACTGAAGAGATAGCTGATGTCTTGGACACATTCAAAGTCATATCCGAGTTGCCTTCAGACTGCTTTGGAGCTTACATTATCTCCATGGCAACTTCACCTAGTGATGTCCTTGCTGTTGAGCTTCTACAACGTGAGTGCCACGTGAAGAAGCCACTTAGAGTTGTCCCACTCTTTGAGAAGCTAGCTGATCTCGAAGCAGCTCCTGCAGCTGTCTCAAGACTCTTCTCTCTAGACTGGTACAAAAACCGTATTAACGGTAAACAAGAGGTTATGATTGGTTACTCTGACTCAGGGAAAGACGCTGGTCGTCTCTCAGCTGCTTGGGAGCTCTATAAAGCTCAAGAAGAGCTTGTTAAGGTTGCTAAGAAATACGGAGTGAAGCTAACTATGTTCCATGGACGCGGCGGCACGGTCGGAAGAGGAGGTGGTCCAACACATCTTGCTATATTATCTCAGCCACCGGATACAGTTAATGGCTCGTTCCGAGTTACGGTTCAAGGTGAAGTCATTGAGCAATCATTTGGAGAGGAACACTTGTGTTTTAGAACACTTCAGCGTTACACAGCTGCTACTCTTGAGCATGGTATGAACCCTCCTATTTCACCTAAACCCGAGTGGCGCGCTTTGCTCGATGCAATGGCTGTTGTTGCCACTGAGGAGTATCGATCTGTCGTGTTCCAAGAACCTCGATTTGTCGAATACTTTCGCCTTGTAAGTATTCACATTTGTCCCCAAGATTTATGGTTCAAAATGTTATAATAACCGTTATGTTTTTGGTTTTTTTAGGCTACACCTGAGCTGGAGTATGGACGTATGAACATAGGAAGCAGACCTTCGAAGCGAAAACCGAGCGGTGGCATTGAGTCTCTCCGTGCAATCCCATGGATCTTTGCTTGGACGCAAACGAGATTCCATCTTCCTGTATGGTTAGGGTTCGGAGCAGCTTTCAAGTATGCAATCAAGAAAGATGTGAGGAACCTTCTTATGCTTCAAGATATGTACAAACACTGGCCGTTTTTCCGAGTCACCATCGATCTTCTTGAGATGGTGTTCGCCAAGGGAGACCCTGGGATCGCTGCATTGTACGACAAGCTTCTCGTCTCTAAAGATCTATGGGCTTTTGGTGAGAAACTCAGAACAAACTACGAAGAAACCAAGAGCCTTGTCTTACAGGTAATAAACAAAAAAAAACAGAGTCCTCTGTTTCGTTATACGAAACAGAGAAAACAGAGAAGAAAACAGAGTCCTCTGTTTCGTATTCGTTATGATTTCAACTAAAATCTATTTTGTTGCAGACTGCTGGACATAGAGACCTTCTTGAAGGAGACCCTTACTTGAAACAGAGACTTAGGCTGCGTGACTCTTACATTACAACGCTGAATGTATGTCAAGCTTACACATTGAAGAGAATCCGTGATTCAAACTACAATGTGACTCTCCGACCACACATTTCAAAAGAGATCATGCAATCAAGTAAATCAGCACAAGAGCTCATCACGCTTAACCCAACGAGTGAGTACGCGCCTGGACTTGAGGATACACTCATCTTAACCATGAAGGGTATTGCTGCAGGATTGCAAAACACCGGTTAAGTGAGTTGGTTCACTGAGAAGAGCCAAAACTTTTTGAGTGTTTTTTTCTTTATGTCTTTTTAAGAATAATGTTATAACGGTTTGGATTACAGTTTACTTTTATGTATCCACCGTTAAAGAAGATTTTAATCTTCCCATTGTGTGAAAAATAAACACTGTTCTGTTTCTTTTGAAGTGAAACAAACACAGAGACAGTGATTGAATATTAAATTTTTGTCTTTTTGATTTTCTCTCTCTCTGTTCTGTTTTGCAATAATCATCAACAGTTGTTGATGTGTTTCTACGACACGTGTAGTTTGCATGCACGTCGTTTAAAGTCTGAAAAGTGGTCCCTAAAAACGGCAGGGGTGTATTAATCGAACCGGGTTGTTAAATAAGTGAGGTGCGTCTAGGAAACGACACGGTCTTTTGTTTTATTTAAAACATTCGGCACGTACTTCCGTCTATATAAATGGTAAAGATGCATGTGAGGAGCGAGTGTGAATCACGCGTCCTTAACCATTCTGTTTAGAGGAAAAAACATAGACAAGAACAACGAATGTTTACAAAACATGAATGAATGTCTCTCTCTCTCTCTGTTTATTTTCTATGGTTTAATCACCTTTATGTAACAAAAAATTCTCTATGTGCAAATGACTCCTAAACAGAGCAATGAATGAATCAAATATCTAAACCTATTTCTCTAGACTCTTGAGAGATTATTGACAAGTTTTCCTCATTTTCTAATGAACACAGTAACTTGTTGCTAAAGGCTATAGTGCCTCACTGAACTCTCAAGTGCTTCCTTGCTTGGGCATACAATCTCCTTCATCCTAACACCAAGTTTGTAAATCTTGAAGGTTGGCACAACTCTCACTTTCTCTGCATCCCCCACTGCTGGACAATTCTCTATCTCCACCTATTTCAAAAACATCACAACTAAGTTTACTAATTCACATAAACATGTTTTAAGTTTTTGTTATTTACCTTGAGGAAATGTAGAGATGGGTAACGGATACATAATGCATCCATGAAAACAGACATCTCTTTGCATTGTCGGTCAGAGATTTTCATAAGAAGTACAACAGAAACTCCTGCCACCATTGAAGTATACAACAAGTTAGTAATGAGAGTTCTCTGACTGTAAACAAGTTTAAAAGTATCACTTACCGGGTCGGGTCAATGCAGCTTTGAACTCTTGAAGGCTAGAAATCTCCTCAACTTCACATCCAAACTCCATATTTAGAACCACTCCTCCACGAGATCTCTTCAATGCAACTTGAGCGTGAAACAAAGATTCAGCTATTTCTCTGTCGTAAGATAGTTCCTTTCTCAAAGTTTCATAATCGTTCACTGCTTCATCCCATCTCTCCAGCTACAGTTTCACAGGAAGAAGAAGCTTGTTGGACAAGTAAAAGATCGAAAACTAAGTCATACCACATATATATATATATAGAGCTACCTTGCTGTATGATGCAGCCCTTTGACGAAGAATCTTTATGCAACTAGGTAGAATGAGCAATGCATGGTTACAGTCTTCTATAGAGCTCTCCCAAAACCCAACTTTAAAGAAACACTCTGCTCTGTGACCTAATAGAGTAGCGTTGTATGGATCAAACTTGAGGCCTTCTGTATAAGCTGCGCCTGCTTCTGTGTATCTTTCTGATTCATAAAGTTCGTTACCGCGTTCACGCGCCTTAACGACCAATCTAACGTTTCTATTCAATGTTTTAATCTCACTGTTTCGTGGATCGATCTCTGAAGCTTTCTCTACAAATGTAACTGCGTTTTCAAACCTGCAAGAGTTTTATACTCTATTTACCCTTAAACATAACAATAAACCAAGATTTAGTCAACATGTATATAATATATGTTACCTTCCTAGAGCCAACTCAATCTGAGATTTGACAAAATATATGTAAGCTTGGGAGATCATATCGAAAAACCGAATCTTTAAGAAAGATGCTGGTAATAATTCCATGTTGGGAGCTGATGCAAGTGTTGTTTGAGCCTCATCAAGCCGTTGGAGTTTCAGTAATGCTTCAACTTTACACATAGCTAGCTGCAGATTTTAAATAAAATCAGATTCTGGTTCTTGGTAAGGTAATAAAAGAATCTTTGTTATTTTACCTGAGGAGACAAATCAGCTCCAGACTCCGTTGCTGCACTTACTTGTGTCAAAACAACATTCCATAAACCACGTCTCCTTGCATCAACACATTTGTTCAAGTGTCTATCAACTTGTTGAAGCATCTTCACCACCATAGGATCTGATGGTTCCTCCACAGAGAACAAGTGCTTCCCTGCTTTATCAACTTGACCTAATCTGCAACCAAAACAAAGACTTCAATATCTTTTATAAATAAAGAATCTAATAAGCAATTCAGTTTTTACCTAATAAGCAGTGTAGCTAAACGGTGATGAGCCCTAGCAAGATTCGGATCCAACTGAATAGCTTGTTCACACTCAATCACAGCTTCACCAATCCGACCAAGACCAGACAGTGCAGCTGCTCTATTGCTATGGTAAGTCGCATTGGTCGGTGAGAGTTCTAATGCTCTGTCGTAAAACTTCAAAGCCAAACCGAAAGAACCTTTCTTAAACATCTCGTTACCAAGTCTCTTTGCTTCTTCTGGATTATGACTATTCATCACTCTCTGCCACGACGTATCTTCCTCGGAGCCACCGTCACGGGGGATTACAAGTGAGGCGGAGGAAGAAACTGACGTTGCTGTCGGAGAACAGGTGTTTCCTTTGACAACGCTGCCGTATCCGTACGATTTGGAACCTCCTGGTCCAAGTACTACCATGCTTTTGGAGACTCCTTGAGTCATCCCGGTCAGATGAACCTTCCCGGACGGGAAAAGATTCCCGCCGGGGAGGATTTTCACCGGCGGCGACGGCGGCGTAGTGGAGTTTTTACCCGGTTGTTTAACTGTAGCCAAAGTTGTGTCTGACGCTAAAGAGCTCCGAGTTGCTGTCTTTGGGATGTTACTGTTGGACCTGACTTTAGCTCCGGCGGAGGCACTACTCGACCTCCGATGTGCGGCGGAGGAAACCGTCGACTTACCAAATTTAGCGGCGGACTTAGAAGTTTGCGCGGCGGATGTTATGCTCAATTGAGCGGCGGCGGGATTGTTAGTCGCAGATTTAGCGGCGGAGGGATTTGACCGGCGGGAATCGGGTTTTGTCGGAACAAGAGCATGTCCACCACGATGAGCCTTAACCGAATCAGAAGAGCTAGAACTGAAGCTACTAGTGCTAGTAGTGGTAGCCGCGGAGGTGAGTCCACTCGGCGGAGTCTGAAGCGGAGTAACCGGTGATCCATGATTGTCTGTTTTATTGTTTTCGAAATGCAATGATCTGCGGCGAAGCTTGTCGGCGGCAGTGTCATGTTCCAGAACATGTTTTATATGTTTCAACATTGTGTGGTGAGATTAATGAAAAGAATATCACTTAAAGCCTCGAACTTTCTCTATGGGTCTCTCTAAAGAGAGAGTGATCAATAGCAATGACCTTCAATGGCTGAAAAAGATAGAAACTGACGGAGAAGATGCTCCGATCAATGCATCGACGGAAACTGAAAGATGGGCGATCTCGCAATGCAAATGAATGAATGAGATTGTGTTTTCTAGGAGAGAAAATATAGATTTCTCGAGAAAGTTTCAGAGAAGGAATAGGAGAGAGGAAGGAGACGAAGGAGAGCAGAGTGAAACAAAAAAAATCATTAATAGTTTCTGTTTTATTATTTTGTGTGTATTTCAGCGACTTGACACACAGACACAGATAGAAATGTGATTTATCTTCTCAACTGTTTTTTTTTCTAAATGAAAAAAAAAAACTGTAGAATTAAATCTAAAACTCGTTTTTCGAAATTTTCACCAGATTTTGCCTAGTCAAAGGAAAACAAACGTCACTATTGATCTAAATTAAGATTGGGTTATAGGGTTATAGGTATTTTCTAATAATATTGAGAATCCAAAGTCTTGACTGAATCCTTCTCGTGGATTGCGCTCGACTATGTCCAACGCAACACTCTACTATACTTATTCATGTCTGGTGATGCAGGCTGAGTTTCTGTAGAAGGAGGGAAGTCTGAAGTTATAGGCTCAGGCTATATTTTACAAGAATAATCTATTTGAAACATGATTTTTTATTGAAAGTTGACAAAAATAGGCTCATTCCTTCATCTCTTGATTCTAGCTGCTCCACATTCACGAGCCAGAGTTCCAATTTTTTAATACTTCTGTTTATCAATAGAGAAGGAATGTCTTGTCAATAAAATATAGTGTGAAGTAAATAAATGATTGAATAATCTGCTGACTTGGCTCTCTCTTTCATACTGCTGTCTTGTTTTTTCTTATACTATCTAAAAGCCAACGCGCGTACATGACAAGTGACATCCACGCTTCTCCTTAAAGCAACTGTGTCATTAACCAATTGTGTCATTAAGTAGTTAATTAATCACACCCCCTGTGGCAATGTCAGAGCCAATGTTATACCATGCATTTAGCTATAGACCAATAGTAAGAAAAGGTTTGAGATCTTCATGTACGTAACTAATTTATAAACATATTAATTTTTTTAAGTGGGTTTGTTTACTTTGTTTAGCATCAAACTTTTTCGTTTATTTGATTTACCAAACATTTTCTTCTATCTGGACATGTGTTACGGGTATATACACGTATGTATTGTATATGTTTGATTAGAATATTCAAAATTGACTGATTGTTCATTCACATACCCCGCCTTGGACAACCATGAAACTGAACACAATGGTTGATTTGAGTCAAAAAAAATTGATTATTTGTTACTTATTGTATTTTGACTTTTGGATGCAATCACCGAATTAAGTATTATTTGCGGGTGTGAGATGCGTAAATATATAAACACTATGTGACTATGTCGGTATTTAAATTTAGTTGGAATATTTAATAAATAGTGACACTTAAGACAACGATGTAATTTAAAGTGTCGATAGTTTGCAATAAGAGTAGGTAATACGCACTTAATTCTTTTTGAGAAAAGCACACACTTGATTGGTTAATATAATATTCCAGCTATTTGAAGCATCTTCCTTTTTTGTCAACAGCTGTTTCAAGCTATATCATGGTGATCTAATAGAATACATACGATTCTAAACATTTTACACGAAATGGCAATTTTTTCCAGCTTTTGTATGAACATTTTACATACGAAGTTCACTAATTATTTTTGATCAGTAAAATAATGCCATAAACATCATATAATGCCGTAATGACACATTCAGTGGTGTATAATTTAGTATGTTTAAATTACCTTAAGTAATTTGATGTGTCATTATCAGATCATGACGTTGGAGTCCTAACTATGACGCCAGATCAATCATCACTGTCTCTGCCTGACATAGATAAGAAGGCGTGGCAGAAAGCAAGTACGTGTACGTTGTGAAATTATTAAAATAGTTTTTTTGTTTCTTGTTATCATGATTTATTATTTTTTTTCAAATGAAAGATACAAAACTAAGAAGAAACGATAACGAATGGGTGAAGGATGTTGATTATTTTGTGGTGTTATTATGGACTTCGACAGCTTTTAACATGTTTACACGAAGATGGTAAGATTCCAACTTTTTTGTTGGATACTTCTTCTATTTTAGTGATTATTTTTCGCAGACCACACAAAGGTTTTTCTTAATAATATGATAAAAGAGTCCCGTATACGTACAAATAACATAGCACTTTCTCTATATGATTGTAATACACTAAACTGTTTTGTAATCATATAGGTTATACTCTATTAGTTTATCTTCAACTAACTTTTTGTCTAAAATGTGGATATCGAACCAGAGCATTCTGGTATATCCCAAACAGCAATGGAGTAGGGTGAACACACTGGTTCACTAAGGGTCTGGTGGTTCTTGTGGTTGACGTTCATTGCCAGCATCCACGCACCTAATGTCACGTCCTCGTTACTATAAACATCCAGAAACTTTTTAGAAGTTTGAATATATCTATTAAAAAAGGGCTTACCAGGAGCGAAACCAAAGTCCTTAATAACACTGAAAAAACGAGTATCTTGCGTGTTGTTCTTGAAGGCAACCAAACTGGTGCTCACATCAGCAGAAAGAGCATTTATGGAGCCATGCGAATGAAGAGAAGTACTCGTTGTCAAGCAAATGTGCCAAAGGATTAAACCCTTAATGTTTTCCTGCAAAATAAGATTTCAATGCAAACAAGTGTTAAACCAATAGTAGTCCTGAGGAGAAGTAAAAAAAAACATAGGTTTCCGGCTTTTTTTTTAAGAAAAATATCAGCCAAAATATTTGATAAAACATTAAATAATTTAATGATTAATAAAAATCAAAATAAAAATGTCGGCATAGATTCAATTCCTAACTACAACAATAAATATATTTTATTATTTATTTCCATAATCTATAAATATTCAGAGTCGGCACTGGCACTGATTAAATTAACATATTGTATGGGAGTTTACTGAAATTCTCTATATCGAGCAGTACGAAGTCATCGTACTCCGCCATTTTCGCCTCGAGATCTGTTGTATGCTTTTGTTAAGGCTGTAATGACTCTAGCCTTGGACCATAACTCACATCATTACTATTCAAAATCACTATTGTATGTTGTTTATTTTATTTAATTTAAAATTCATAGATGATATGAATTTGGAAAAAGATATTACATCTAAACATCATCAAAAATATTTTATCAACTAAAAAATAAAACTAATATTTATTATTGAATAGAGTTGATAGATAAATTAAAATACACTATCCATTTTTTATCCTACAATATAGATATGCAAGTCCAACTCCAGTAAAAAAACACATGAAATTTAACTAAACATACTTCATCTAGAATACAAATTTCATAATTTTATAAACATCAAATAATGATACTAATAAAACATTTCATGACATAAACTAGCAATGATTTCTAGTGCTCATATATAATTCAATCTAAAATTCATTATATATAATTATACATACTAGTACAAGAACTAGTCACATGATATATATCATATTGCTACAACCGATAAATTAGTAAAACGAAAGATTAACACTAAAACTACCTAAATTGGCAAATTAGCATATACTAATATTACCTGTTGCATTTTTTTGTAACTATGTTCAAGTTGGGGCGATGTTGTTGCATCTGATAAGTTCAAGGGGGTTTGACCGAAGATTTCGTTGATACTTTGTTTAGTTGTGAATACCGAAACTGCCCACGAATGAGTATTAAACCCTCGCAAAACCCTCTGTGTCTTACTTCACACTCTCTAGGGCTTTTGTAGCTTTCCATGGCGACGACACGTTCCATTTCTCGCTCCATTCCTAGGCTCTTGACTCGATCCTTCGCTTCCTCTACTCCCCTCTCCAAAACTCCGTCATCCTCGTCTCTCCTCAGCCGTCACGTCCCCTCGCTGCCGCGTTGTCCTCCGTTCTCCGTGGTGGATTTGTCTCTGTTAAATTTCTTTCCTCGCACGCTACTGCGTCTTCTCTTAACGATCAGAGTCCCAACTGGTCTAACAGGCCACCCAAGGAGACGATCTTGCTCGATGGGTGTGATTTTGAGCATTGGCTTGTGGTTGTGGATGCACCAGCGTAATCTTACTAGAGACGAGATCATCGACGGTTACATCAAAACCCTAGCGCAGATTGTTGGCAGGTAAAAACCCTAAAATTCAAAAGTCTCTTCTATTGGCTTATTACAGAACCTTTTGTATGATATGTTTTTGTTTTGAATTTTGAGCAGTGAAGAAGAGGCGAGGATGAAGATTTACTCTGTTTCACATAGGTGTTACTTTGCTTTTGGTGCACTTGTGTCTAAAGATCTTTCTCACAAGCTCAAAGGTTTTATTTTTTTGCCTTGTTGAGGTCTTACATGTGTTTGAATTCGAATTCTAACTTTTTTTTTTATGTAACTCTCTCCAGAGTTGCCTAATGTGCTTTGGGTTCTTCCTGATTATTACCTTGATGTGAAGAACAAAGAATATGGAGGTAATAATGCTTATTGTGTTTTAATAGTATATAAATAAACCAAGAAGTAAAAGGGAGTTGGTTTTATCTTTCAGTATGATTTGTTGATGTCTTAATTAACATTTCTTGACTTTGTCAGTGATGTCAGTTTCCTGTCTGGTGGTGCTGCTTTATCATTGAGAGTTTATAACTTGTTGGTGATTTTAGAGAAGTTATTTATTTTATTATTTTAATATATTGGCTTTCAGGGGAACCTTTCATTGATGGGAGAGCTGTTCCTTATGATACCAAGTACCACGAGGAATGGATAAGGAACAATGATAGCGCAAATTACAAAAACAGGCGCAACCGTCCAGGACACTCTGATAAAACCAGAAACTTTGTGAGGAGAGAGAACATGGTAGCAGGGCCGGATTTGGACACAGCCGGACGAAACATTCGCCTAGGCCCCCAAAAATTTTAGAAATTTTTAACCTAAGAATAAGCCCCTAAACATTGACCTTGGCCCCCAAAAAAATTAGAGTTCTTAAGAAATGTTTCAAACCCCCAAAATCTCAGCTCCGGCCCTGCATGGCAGGAAGCCCTCCTCCTCAACGTCCTCCCATGGGTGGCTCTGCACCTCCTCCACCTCACATGGGGCAGAACTACGGCGGACCACCACCGCAGAACAACATGGGAGGACAAAGGCCTCCACCGAACTATGGAGGAGCACCACCGCAGAACAACATGGGAGGAGGTCCACCAAATGCAGGATGGTCAGGTAACAACTACCAGCAGCAGAGTGGTGGAATGCAGCAGCCACAGTACTAGAACAACTATCCACCTAACCGGGACGGCAGTGGGAATCCGTACCAGGGTTAAAATAGTTGAACCAGTCGTGGGTTTTCTTTTTTATTCATGCGTTCTGGACGATGTATAGGTAATCTGAGGATAGGAGAGAGAATGCATTAGCATAGACTTTAAAACTCCTTTTTGCTTTCAGTGTTTGTCAACCTGGTATCATGTGAGAGAATAACAGTGGCGTGGTTATTAGGTTTTTTACTGTTGCATTTTTTAGTTTATTATCCTAAATTAAGAGTTATCAAGTGATTCTGATTCTAGATGCAATAATAAATTCAGTATATCTTTCATATTTGTGCTTTTGTTTAGCTCTTTTGGGCCTAACTTGCAGTTCTCAAAACATGTTTCCTGTCTACTCATGGAGCTAACAAGGGATGCTCAAAAATTTACCTTTCTCAAGAAGGATAGTGTCAATATATTATGACATCACCACTCACCAGTAGATACTTTGCAGCGCAGGTGTCTTTATCTGTGGTTGGTAAAAAAATACTTGCAAGTGGAGGCTTCACCGTATCTGCAATTTAGGTTATTATGTGATGCTCAAATCTTCAAGAAAGATAAAAAAAGAAAAACTGTCCCTTCAAGATCACTTTATATCTCAGCCAATATGCTAGCTCTCTTCTGCTAAATCTGAAATTGCGGGTTGCGTCCAATTGCATGAGCTGCGTATACTACTTCGGCGTGTTTGGCCCAAATCTCTAAATCTCAGCCCAACGATAAATTTCCTCATGGAGTACCATTTTGAGGATATTGTAACTAATAAGTAAAAAGAGAAAAACTATTGTTGCTACTAGCTAATGTAAGCTATGATTCTTCTTTTTGCCGCTCTCTTTTTTCTAAAAGTTAAGTAAAAAATATAAATATGTGTAACGTATATATGAGTTGTTTCTTCCTGGGTATCACCGTATAAGTTACATTTATCTGGCTTGCAGTATTTGATTTATTTACAAAGAGATGAAAGTGTACTTGTTGGTGCATTATTGTTGGATCACGAGCCTTTCTGTCTTTATGATTTTCATTTTCATTAGTTTGATGAATAAATACATGTCAAAAGAAGTGAGATAGTGAAAGGACATTATGTCCACTCTCGATGTCTCATCTTTTCATTTCTTTACTCCTTTATATAAACAAAGTAACCTCAAGTAGCTGAAGCGTACTGTTAATTTTCAATGAAGCCATATGTCAATTGTCGCAACCTGATCATGGTGTAGTAGCAATGTCATGTCCTACGTGCCAACTTCGACGTCACGTGTGTCCTTCTCTCTCAGATCGATTGCTTTTGCGTTATTTGCATGTTCTTCAAGCTTTCTATTTAAATTGTTACAGCGCGAACAATGATTCTCACAAAAGGCGAGTCAAATAATAGAAAGACATTTTGCGAGTTCTACCAAATAATTGCCGAGCAGTGAAAAAGCATTTTAAGAAAAAAATGCTTGATACTTCTGTGGATATTGGAGAAGTGAGTTCCATCATGTTTGCAAAACCCGTTAACGTTGTTTGACATTTTAGAAAATGATTGTGCTTTTATTTACTTATCTTACATATTTACTTATTTTTGACATTGTTTGACATTTTTAAAAATGTTTTACTAGCACGGTTTCAGGGTCACTTTACTGAATACTAATGTCAATGTAAAATAAGTAAATAAAAAAAAAAACAAAAAATACACCAAGTGGTCTATTGATTTACAAGTGGAGCTTACTAAAGTGAAATTTTATCAATAATAATGATAACCTATAGTAAAACATAAGTTTTTATGCTGTCCGAAAAATGGATCCATACTACTTGTCTAGGCAAAAGTATTTGATGAGGCAGATGCATACCTTACTCTATCGAATTCTGTAAAATATTAATTAGACGTTATGAAATAAAGATTTCATTGAGTAATCTAGTGACGTTATTGTACTTGATAGTTGAATTATTCACATAAACTCCCATAATCATAGTTAATCATTCTATTTTGTTGTGCTGCGATTTGTGACTGCAGTTCCAAGTGGAAAGCTCTTTTTCGTTTAATTAGTAGGATGCAAGCGTGTGATGATGACATATATTCTCCCTTTCTCTATTGAAAAACCTACTTAATGTTAAAACAGTTTATCACTACTTGTTTTTTTTAGTGTGTTCGTATAAGCTTTGTCATCACTCGACCCATATATATAACGATAATATATCACTTTCAGAATTATTTTTCCATTAAATTAGGTGTGTTTAATTGTAGTTATTGTTTATGTATCTAGACGCAATAGTTTAGAATGTACAGATAATTAAAACACTACTAATTGCTTCAAATTTGTTTTCCGCTTTTAAAACATACTCCCTCCGTTTCAAATTATATGTCATTCTAGAGTAAAATTTTCGTTTCAAAATAAGTGTCGTTTTATAATTTCAATGCAAAATTTATTGATTTTAAATATCATTCTATTTTTTCATTGGTTGAAAAGTGGTTAGGTGTATAGGTAATTGTGTTTTTATTTTGAAAATGTGTAAAATTAATTGTTTTCTTAATTTGTGTGCAAAAACATAGAATGACAATTAAACTGAAACGGAGGGAATACTACTTATTGAAAACTATGTTAGCCTACAGGTTTAAAATCTTATAAACTTGTGTGACCAATAATAAGGTTTTATATTGGTATTCGATTTATAATCTATTTTCTGTTAAACATATTCTAACCACGATGTAACTCCATGTGAATTAAGTCCTGTGAGTGGTAATTATAGTCAATTGGTTGGGTTTCAAGGAGCATTATAGAGTCCCACAAATTATGTTCGAGCTTGTAAAAATTTTCTCGAGATTTGAAATATCTCCGTTGTACTTATAATCTTGTTCCCATAATTCAAAATACCTTATGTATCGAATTTGTGTTATACTCCATGATACGGTTAAAAGACAATTACTTCGACAAAGTCTAAGTAGGAAAGATTGTCTGATTTTAGAACAAAATGCGAGGATCTCCTTTTGTATAATTTGAAGTGAAGAAACAAGAGTTTTATAGAATCTTTAAAAATTGATGTTATATTGAATGGATATGATATGATTTTTTCTCCTATGTTCGTGTATAGAGGCTACTAAGTTTGTAAAACTCTTAATATTAATATCCAAAAGCTTAGAGTGAATATGTTTTTATCTTAATCAGATTTTTGGTTGTTGTCAAAACAAGAGATAAATAAATATAGAAAACAATTAAACCTTGATTACCCCCAAAAAACCAAGAAAGTAACAGAAAAAATGAACAATAAAAAACAATGAATGTGAGAAGAGAAGAGATGAGAGAAAGAGACATTTTTAATAAGAGAAAAACACAGTCATCATCAGCAATTGCGTCATCACCAGCGTCATATAAACAACACACTTCTTTTTATTTACTTTTACTTGATTGGTCAATTACACATCTCTCTATCTCAACTCTCTTGCTTCATCTGTTTGGTCTCCTTTCTTACTTTTCTCTAGAAAGTACATAAACGAGATAAAGAGAGAGAGATTCAGACATGGGTTAGCCTTCTGTCCTTTTAATAAATATGCTCAACCAATGTCAGACCACGACGAACCTCACCACTTCCTCCACCCTCCACCAATGAGACACCGCCCTACTACGTCAGACACCTGCGGAGAGATAGTGGAGGTTGAAGGAGGTCACATTATCCGCTCCACGGGGACGAAAGACCGGCACAGCAGAGTCTGCACGGCTAAAGGGCCACGTGACAGGCGCGTGAGACTATCTGCTCACACTGCGATTCAGTTCTACGATGTTCAAGACCGTCTCGGTTTCGACCGACCAAGCAAAGCCGTTGATTGGCTCATCAAAAAGGCTCAGACTTCCATCGACGAACTCGCTCAGCTTCCTCCGTGGAACCCCGCCGACGCTATCCGCAACGCCGCCGTTAAAGTTAAAACAAGAAGAACCGCCGCCAAAACCAAAATCTCTCCGTCGCCGCCACCGCCGCAACGGCTTCAGCAGCAGCACGTCTCTGCTTCCGAGCCTGTTCTGTTCTACGGACAGAGCAGTCCGTTTGGTTACGACGGCACGTGGACGGGTGGTTGGGAGCAACAGTCAGTTCAGAGACTTGTGGCTTGGAACAGCGGAGGAGCAACCGATGCTGGAAACGGAGGAGGAGGAGGGTATCTTGCTCCGACGTCGTATCAGTCACTACTTGGCCAAAGTCAGCTTCTTTATTCTCAGAGGGGTCCCCTTCAGTCCAGTTACACTCCCATGATCCGTGCTTGGTTTGATTATCCGCCGGTTCACCAATACGAATTCTCTTCCGGTTTTGGCGTACCAGCACGGTTTCAGGGACAAGAGGAGGAGCAGCACGACGGTTTCACCAACAAACCGTCCCCTGCTTCCTCTATTTCTCGCCGTTGAAACAATGTCAGGTTATACCAATTTATGTTCTTTTTACGTCAAGTACATTACTATTTGGAGTTCTAATCTATTTCAAATATAACATTTTGCAGGGCTTTTTCAAGCATACATTTACATTTTAAGCTTTGGCTTAGATGGTTCGGAACAGAGATGGTGTTCTTTCGGTTTGTATTTGATGGCTTAGAAAACAAGGAGAGGATGAGAGACTAGAAGAAGTGAAGAAACAAATGTCTCATAATGTCAGGTTTATTTTCTTTTTCGGTTCAATATCCTCACCTAGCCAATGTAATTGTCATATTTTTCAATAGTTAGACAACGTTCTGTAGCTCAATTATGGTTAGATATCACTATGTTACTTGTTCTTTTGTTGTGAGTTGTATCATCATCATCCACCTCTTGTTACTGCAATAGCCAGATACTTGAGAAATTGCAGTTCTCTGTTCTTTTTTTCTGTGTTACTCCATGGATAACTTTCTCTTTATTTTCATGTGGATTTTTCCTGCTTTCTTCAGGCTAAGAAACTGTTAAAAAAACATAAGCTAGATAAAGCTTAAATGCTTTGTTCAAGTTAGAATATTGTTGTTAAAGAAACAACAAGATGAGCATGTGTTCATTATTCTTATATCTCACTCAATCCTTTGGCGCCAATGATAAAAAGTTAGTCATTGTCCATGAACACTAATTTTTGAATTGTTTCTTTTTCTGGAACATCACGGGGATTTAGCCATTTCCCTTAAACTAGAAGTGGAAACTCTCCTTACAAGAGTAAAAAATGGGGTTTGTAATCTGTCTGATGTCATTAATTGTTCCCTGGCGCCTACTTTAGTGGTAGGAGGAGAGATCCACCAAACTTGAATGTGATGTTGTCTTCTATGATGAGTAAAAGAATGGAGACATAAGAAAGGTAATATGACACCATGTTTGTCTAAATGTAGAGAGTTGATCAAAAACTACTCAATCTTCCCTATCATCCATCTTTAGACAAATAATATTTGACGTAACAAGTTAGTCTGAATTTTTTTGTTACCTTCATTTAGCAGAGCTGTATTATAAGCATGTGTTTAGATTCACCTTTTAAAAGAAATGCAAACACCTTTTCATGTGATGTAATAAACACCTCACCAACCACATCAAATGAAAAGGTGATGTACGTTCTACCAAATGATAGAAAGGCCGAATTTTTATCTTTACATTAAGGTGTCATTACTCAAAAGCTCATATCCAGTCTACCGTTTGTCAACCTATAATATCATCAATAAGTTTGTTCTATAAGACAGATATATAGTACAATCTAGCTGTCATGACCAAGTAACATGTTTCTCACTAAACCTCAAAATATCTAATAAAAGAGCTGGCCACTTCAAAGTATGGTCCCCTCTCTATTCTCTCTTGTAGATCTCAATTCCTTCCTTTTTATTCAAAAATCTAGTGAAAAATGTCACAGCTTCTAAACCCCTCTTTCACTTGTCTACTTCCACATAAACATAGTTGCAAATCTAAGAATTTGAAACGAGTAAAGATGCACTCACGCTGACAACACAAAACATGTGATGCATGAAGCAAACAATATAATTTGATATGAAGTAATAACAACAAATCGTGTAATGTATATACAACATATATGAACAACAACACATTGGACCGTTACCGTAACCAAATAAAAACCGGTTCAATTGTACAACAAATCAAAGAATAAAAAAAAAGAAAAGAAACTTCAATCAATAAAACCGGTTCTTCTAAAAACAGCATTCCTAACCTGCCTTAGATCTCTCCCTTTAAGTGTCCTTCCCGCTCCTTCCAGCACAGAGCAAGAATACAACGAAGACTGCGCCAAAGACCTAGCCACCATCTCATGAGGCGGAAGCCTCTCCCCTTCCTCCTCATCATCATCAACATCCACCACATCAGTCAACTTAAACTCCTTCTTATGACGATTCATCATCATCGGAACTTGCACCGGAGCTGACTGAGGAAACTTCCCTATAAAAGGAAGCCGTTCTTGAGGCGGTTTAGGAGCAGTGGGGATGGTTCTTGCGGAAGAGGAAGAAGACGAGGAGGAAGAAGCTGTGGAGGAGACTGAAGTGGAGAGAATAGAGGAAGCGGGTTTGTGATGGAACACGTGGTTTAGGTAACTGTTTCCTGATGGTTCGTGGGGAAGAGCGGCGAGTATACCGGAAGGTTCCACGTTTTTTAAACTGCTTTTGGTTCTTTGAAACTGGCGAGCTGGTTGAGAGGGAGAGGGAGAGGGACGAGGCGCGTGAGTTATGTCGATTGCGAAGATGTCGTCTTCGTGGAGCTCACCGTCTGCTGAAGCTAAGGATGGTGAAGATGAAGAGGGGATGTTGATCCGTGTAGTTTTGTTCATTTTTTTTGGTTAAGATCTGCGAATCAGAGAGTTTCTGATTAATTAAGAAACAAAAAAAAGTCTTCAGATATATTTTATTACAAAACATAACTAAACTGGAAGTAGATCGGTCGGAAAGTTGAAAAATTCGAATTTTGTTTTCTTGGGCAAAAAAAAGAAAGGTCGTTTTTAATCCAATATTTATTTACTGAAGAACATAATCATAACGTAGGAGATCATTTTTTTTCTAGAAATCTCGAATCATAAGAAGTTGCAGTAAACAGGAAGACCGATCCTATTAAAACGAAGATCGATTTATTATTAAAGAAGGAGATTCGTAATTGAAAGAAGAATATTTTTACTACCTCAACTATGGGAAGATGAAGAAATATAACAGCAGATTAGATGTACGACCAGCTGACGATCTGAACGTTTAGCGACAGGTAGAGAGAACAGAGAGAGACGAAAAAGACGAAGACCTGAATGATATGATATTTCTAGAATTTTTGATATCCGTATAGTTGTAATGTCGCCGTTTCATACATGTGGTTGAAGCCCAATTAAATAAACCCAATAAACTAAGTCCATTTAGAATCATTCATTTTTTCTTTTTAAACAAACACTTAACACTAATTTTTTTGATCAGCTGCCTATTTCAAGTAGATCAGATGTTGGTTAAGCGAACCGATTTTCCGAGGAGAATATCAGTCTGCTGACCATTACTTTCGAGTAATATAAATACGATTCACATTCTTGAAGTCTTCATGTAATCGTTGGAACATCTCAATGTTACTAGTCCACCGAAAATTTTTTTCGATCTCCACTAAGTCCAAACAGTCTCTCAAAATAGATCGAGATCATCCTCATGTACGGGAACATAAGGTTATCTGAAATAAACTATTCATCTTAGCATGTAAAACAAATGACTTATGTCGTAGTCTCTTAATCTGAAAGAATCCATTTGATTCTTATGACTCCACCCTCAACTAGTACACTGCCATTATTAAGGTTGATTCCATGATGCTTAAGACTCGTTCTTAAGACATAGTAATAAAGAATATCAGAACTTTGAAGTACCTAAGATAAATCCGAATGGTTACTGAAGCACTCATCCCTAGACATAGAAGTGGAGATTTCTGTTACCGTTGATGAACTTGTAAGTGTGTGTACACAAATAGCCAAAAAAATTATATAAAACAAACCAATCAAACAAGACAATGCTCAAATGTGAAAATAAACCGGTTTTTATTAAGGTTGATTCGATAATCAAATTCATTAGGAACCAGGCTTTTTGAATTTTGCAGCTTCCTTTGAGTGTAACAAATCCGGTTTAGCGGCTGTTTTCTTCGTGACCACATTAGCTGTTGATAATTTCTCCGGTTTTCTAGCCGGTTTGATCGGTTTAATGACTTGACATTGAGCCCTAATCTCCCAAGGTCGAGCTGATATCCACCGTTCTTTCCAACTCCATCCCCAGTTCTCTTTGTCAAGATTAAACGAAGCTTGACCTAGATACTGTGTAGCATTAGCTCTCCACTACAAAAACCAAAAACCATAAAGTTACTTGAGATACAAGGTATCTAAACACACAAACTAATTAACATAGTTAAGTCTCAACTTTCATTAACCTGGTGAGAAAAAGCATAAGCCATTGCTCGTTCACGCTTCACTGTAGCTTCTTCTCTCTGTTGTATCCTCGCGAGAATCTCCTCCATTGTTTCAGACCCTCCACACCATTCAACTTCTATCTCACGAAGCTTGATCTCCATCTTCAACCGATTCTCCAATCTCTTGTTCTGGAGTCTACCTTCTGTCACCATATACATACGTCGTTCTCTGATCTGACTCTGTAAATCGCACCAAGAATGCATCACGTTGAGTGCAATGGAAGTTTGGTTCTTCACTGTATGGCCTTGGATCAATGAGTTAAATCTCCTTGCGCTCTTCAAACTGCATAGTCTTTTTCTTGCCTGCATATACACAATTTTAAATATTTGGAGCAGTAATCCTATTTCAGAATTGTGTGTAATGATAAACCTTGTATGCTCGAAAAGCCTTTTGAATGCGAATAGCAGCGATCTCTACGGTAAGTCTAGTGGAAGCTGAGCTTGATTCCACCGGTTTAACACGGTTTAATGTTTCAGAATGTGCCTAAAAAGAACATATATATTGAAGTCACTAGTAAGCAAGAATGAAAAGGGACTAAAAAACAGAGATTTTACTAACGTTTCCGTGGTTTGATTTTGTATGTTTTGTTGGTTTGAAACAGATGAGGAGAGAGCGAAGCAACCATCCAGATCCCATAACACAAAGAAGTTTATGAGTATAACGTCTGAGAGATTTAGAAGAAGAAAAAGTTTTTTATTGGAGAAGCTAATGTAGGTTTAAAGATTTTAATAACCACATTTATGTGATAGTGAGATGGGGTATTGAGTATTAACGTGTGTTCTTTCTTTGAAGGCACAAGAAGGTTAATGTTGAGTGGGTTTTAAGTAAATGGATAAAGAGAGATAGTTGAAGTTTCGTTCTCTTCTGTGGTGTGAGTAAACCCATCTTGTTGATAGATTGACATTTCAACTAATGGTTGAAGATGGTGTTTGAGCTTTTTTTTCAAATATGGAGGGGTTGTTTCTGATAACTTTAATTAGTTTTATGCTAAGATTGACAAAACTATAAAAATAGAAGGGTTATTTGCCGTAAAAATAAAAACTTTAAATACGCGAGGTTGCTTCTGATAACTTTAATTAGTTTTACGGTAAGATTGACAAAACTATCAAAATAGAAGGGTTATTTGCCGTAAAAATAAAAACTAAAAAAGTGTAAACTCAGCTGCTCCCGGCGGGGTTCGAACCCGCGACCTTCGGCTCATAAGACCAACGCTCTAACCAACTGAGCTACGGGAGCTGCTTGTTAGTACTAATACACAAAACTATATATTCCTTATACATACAAATGTGATCCTCACAATGGCTACGTACACAGCTGACGACGACTACGATTTCCTCTACAAAGTGGTCCTAATCGGAGACTCCGGCGTCGGAAAATCAAACCTCCTCTCTCGCTTCACCCGCAACGAGTTCAGCCTCGAGTCAAAATCCACCATCGGCGTCGAATTCGCCACCAGAACCATCCACGTGGACGATAAAATCATCAAAGCTGGACACCGCAGGCCAAGAAAGGTATAAACTTTACTTTCTTTAAAAAAAAAGTTTCATCCTTTACAAAAAAAAAAGATTTAATTTTTATTTATTTTTTTCGGGGAAGAAGATACAGAGCGATCACTAGTGCATACTATCGAGGAGCTCTAGGAGCGTTACTTGTCTACGATGTGACACGGCACGTGACTTTTGAGAACGTTGAGAGGTGGCTTAAGGAGCTTAGAGACCACACTGATGTTAACATTGTTGTTATGTTGGTTGGGAATAAAGCTGATTTGCGTCATCTTAGAGGTGTTTCGATGGAAGATGGTAAGGGGTTTGCGGAGAGGGAGAGGGTTTTTTTTATGGAGACGTCTGCTTTGGAAGATTTGAATGTGGAAGATGCTTTTACTCAGCTGCTTTGGAAGATATATTGTGTGGGTGGTAAGAAGGGTTTGGATGTTGGTGATGGGGATGGGGATGATCGGTCAGGTGTGCCTAAAGGACAGAGTATTGATGTTGGGTTTAAGGGGGATGTGTCTGAAGTTAAGAAGATCGGTTGCTGCTCGAGTTGATGTCAGTTGTTAAGAGGGAACTGTGTAGTTTTGGTGTAAGTTTATTAGATACTTATAAATGTTTTAGCTATGTGTTTATATGATCATATTAGACAATATATGAACATAAAAAAGGTGCGTTAGATGAAGACAAAACTAATTATGTTGATCATCATCAAGACATGTAAATTTGGTTTTGGGGCTGAACTCATTCTGACTCTGTTGTTTTTTATGAAACCAATATACAAAAGCATGTCCAAAAAAAACATGTGTTAACTTCTATTAGGTTGAATGCGCTGAGACCACCTCCTCTTGCTTTATTGTTCCTTCTTATTTTCCATAACTAATCCCTCTGGTTTACAGATTGGGCAGTTCAAGAACTTGAAGTTTCTTTATAGATTTTCCAAAAAAGGTTCCTTTTTATTTGGACACTGTCTTTGTTATATAACTAAGCGTGTAATGAAAATGGTTTAGATGTGTTTTTGGTGTGCCATATATGGTAAGATTGATTTATCCACAACATACACCCCAACAATAAACGACAAAATGTCCATAACAGACCAGTGTTTCAGACATCACAACTAGATAAGATATAGTAACATGGAAAAGAATACTAAAGACATTAGATTGTGGTTATAGAAAGTGAGCCTTATTACAAAACTTATTCTTGTCAAACCTATGCGACCAGCTCTCTCTATTGTTTCAAAAAGTGTCTAAAGACTTGTAACCAACAAACTTAATGCGATCAGATAATGACCCGACATCTAAACCAATGATGGTGTTGTAACGATCTTGGTCCAAGCAGATTATGGTCAACCCGAAGTCTTTTTGTCTCCACTAATCTAAAACATGTTGGCTGGAGCAATATTGACTTTTGTCCAACTAGAGATCCTAGCGATATGATTTAATGATCTTGCTTGCTTCGATTCTGTGTGGATATGGTGGAATGTGGTTTCACTCGAGCTTAGTCTTTCCCACACTGTGAGAAGAACCCTGCATTCTTTTTCTTTTCTTTTGAAATATTCTTTTTGTTTTGTGAATATGATGTTTCTGATCTTCTATACTTTTAGAAAACATGTTGTTTTTAGTTTATTTCACATATATGAAAATTATACTCGAAAAATTATACTCTCTCTCAATATAATATTTTGCAAGCTATAATTGGTCGCATATATCAAACATTTATTATTTCGCACTTTTTTTAACTAACCTATGGAATTACCTAATATGATTAAAATATATATATATGGCAATTAATGATTTTAAACAATAAATATTTTATTATTATCTGTATACTTTTATTTATATTTTTATTATTAAAATAAATTACATAATTACATTAATCATATAATAAATATCTAGATATTTTTTTGTGTATGTTGTATTTTGAATTTTTCAAAACGAGTATAAATTACTAAACTGTTAAAAGTCTCACATAAGCTTTTACGATCAAGATTTAAATTTTTTTCTATATTAAAATACAATGATTATAAGACCATATGAATAAATAATTTTATTCTAATAGGTTTTATGTTACTATATATACACATATATATATATATATATATATATATATATATATATATATATATATATATTATTTCATATCTTTTAAATTAAACTATACATCATATGAAAATACATAATTATATTTTAATATTTGCAATGAACAGATATTGAAAAGTTAATATTTTAATTTTTAAATCTGTCATTGTTTTTTAATTATTATAAATTATTGAAATCACTAAACATCTCACATTAAAAAAAAATTGTTGGTGTAAAATTTTGTTAAATAATCATGAAATCATATGAGTAGAAATCTCATTTAATAAAAAAATATCATTTAATAAATACTCATATTAAAAGTGTACTATATATCTATGTTAATATCATTTAAATTTAATTATATATCATATACGATATATAAGATTGTCTGTTTTAATTTATTTATCCTAATTGCAAATAAACAAGAGTGATCGTTAGATTTATATGCACACGCCAATTTATCACATAATAGTAACTGATTTCTTAGCTATTTAATATATACTTATTATTTTATTATTTCATAATATGTAGAAAAACATAAAATAAATAATAAATAATAAATAATAAATATAAAATATTATTTTAGAAAAAAATGCAGCTCTTAACCTAAGTATGTGTCTCTTTAATTATTTTAAATCTTAAGCATTTTCTAAATCTCAGACCAAAACAAACAAACGAAATGAGAATAAACTTCAAAATCAATATTTATATTGAGAAATAACTAATATGAAAAAATACACAAAAAGAAAAAAATATTGAAGATAGATAGGACTGACACGTGAACGTAAGCTTCTCATAACCATTATTAATTTTTAAATTCTTAAATCATGATATAAAACCGAGTTGGCATAGTTTCATTGTAACTAAATAAACTGAGATTTTTCGACATAAACGTTAGGTTCTTTGCGGTTAAGTGATATTTGACCTAAAACATTTTAAAAAATGAGATCAGCTCATCAGTAAACAAATTATGTATCTAGCAAGAAAATTAAAAAAATTGTTTAAAGACCAAAATATTAATTCAATCAAGAATATAGATTTATTTTTCCATATAATATTTTTAATTAATTTTTATATAAATTTATCATGCGCAAGGCGCATGTCTTATCCTAGTATCATACTATTATCAATAATAATTTTTGTTACGCCTCTCCAATCCAAGGTCGACCAGAGCCTCACAAAACCGCCACACTGTCTATCTAGTAATTTCCAATGACAGAGGTTCAGTAAACGAAGTATATCTCACCAACCAGAAGAACATGTAGGATGAAATCAGTTTTCATGGCTTCTACACTCATCAGTTCATCTATGGGAATTGGAATCATCAGAAAACCTTAACGAACCAAGGAGATATATATTTTACAAGTTGGAGGTTTTCATGCCCATCTGTTTGTGAGTATCGGCCTTTAGAAGAGAAGTTCAGCCCAACCGGAAAGCGGCCCAAGCCAAAACTCAACTTTTCACTTCAAGAGGGATCTATTATGGATCCAGGAAACCCAAAAATCAAGAGAAATAAATGAGGGTAATTGAAGATATAACCAGTTTTCGAAAATAGGTTATTAGGAGCCGATTATGGAAAGATTAGGAAATCATTGGTCAACTTATCTCCAAACCGAAATCTCTCAACCAAGACACCTTCTTCACGACCTAAGGCTACCAGAAGACATATATAACCAACTAGAGCAGCCTTCCATCATAATTATGTGCACCAGTCAGCATGAGATTAAGAAAATCTTTATTTCGGGCAACTTATCTTTTGAAGAAGCTTTCACTCTTAAAGGAGTAAAGCACCAACGTCTCTTTCCCTTTGTACCATAAGATACCAAGACCAATGTGAGTTTATTTAGAAATCAGCGACTCTTATTTCGTGGATACAAAACCAAGATATTAAGGTACAAGATCAGATCTTCCAAATGACTACAAATTTATTCCAACGGCTAGTTTATCGAAGACAAAGGCCATTGAATTTATTTTCGTGTATTTTCTTTCCTTTCTAGAGTATTAGAACGTTGTATCTTGTCCAAGGTCGAGCCTATATAAGCTCAAGACCATTTATCATTGTAACCACCGTTGGTCATTTTGAAAATTATAGAATACAATTTTTCTTTTAACAAAGTTATGAATTCTTTGTTTTTAATTCTCTAGTTCTTTGTTTGAGATTCACTAAGTCCTAAAGAAGCCATGTCCAGAGAACTTTGTGTGATTCAAGACCATATGTTCGTCTATTGATTGAGAGATTCAATCCATATTCATTTATTCCATCCATCGATCGAGCTTGGAAGATACACATCAAACAAGTTGGATTCCGTCTCATTCATCTAACCACCCACTGATCTTTGTTGAGAGACACATGTCCATCAATAAAGATCCCATCACCATCCTTTCATCCATTTACCATTCGGATCCATCCAATCCCCTTTCCTTACCCATCCGCCCATCGCTGTACCGAACCGGGTCGAACCTCAATTCGACCAAACATATGGTATAATTTCCAGGCCTTATCAATTTTCATCATCAAAATTAGTCAAGTTTAACACTCATGCGTCTAAACTGTTTATACAACTTTAGACAATCATTTTGTGAGCATTTCTAGTACATTTTTTCGTTGAGTCTTAATAAAAATGTTTAAGAAATATGCAATGGATCTTAAGCCAAGATCCCTCACTTATTATTCAAGTGTGTTTATCTAAGTTTGGAGTTTTTTTAGTTATTTCCATTCACATAAACATGATCACATATGTTAATCATCGTCAAAATACTAGTCTAAGCTATATTTACTAAGTTATCATCAATTTTTATAGATTTATATTGCTGATTTTATCTTCTAGACATGACTGAAAATTCAACATCATAAACAAATTCTTTGATGTTGAATAAGTTTTAGTTTGTCAATATATTCAAGTTTACATGATGGTGATACAAATACATATTTGTGAATTAGCGATACAAATACTTATTTGTATCCAATATATAATGTTATAGATCTGGAAGAGCTTAACACCTTAGAACATCATTATTGATGAATCTCTCAAATATGGTTTCTAGACATGATAAATTAATATTTTAAATTGTATTATCTGTAAAAATGACATTGTTTAAAAAGGTTCTCAGTTTTTAAAAAAAAAAAAATCTCTCAAACAAGAATTCATGTCTCTTTTCTACTTTTTTTTCATTTCTTATTTTATTATTATTCTGTTAAACTGTTATATATATTTTCACAGCTCATGACTCTATGTTCTTATACTGAAAGTCATTAGAATCAATTTCATCATTATTGTGGCTGTTGGCTGTATGTGGCGTTTCAATTGGGTTCAGAAGTCATAGTTAGCAATTTGCACCAGTTGTGGCTAGTAAGTCTTTGTGGAGACATCTGCTTTGGAAGCTTTGAATGTGGAGGATGCTTTCACTCAGCTTCTTTCTCAGATATACCGTGTCCGTGTGGCTAGTAAGAAGGCTTTGGATGTTGGAGATGATGATTCGGCTACTCTATAGAGTATTAATGTTGGGTCTAAGAATGGTGTCTCTGAGGTCAAGAAGGTCGGTTGCTGTTCAAGTTGATCTCAGTGAAAGCCATTTGTTTCTTAGGGGAACTATATAGTTTGGTTATCTATGAGATGATTACTTTTGATCTCTTCTTGTTCCTTCTTTTGGTGTAAGTCACTCAGATCTTGAAAATGTTCTATCTATGTTTACATGATCATTTTAGACAATCTATGAACACAAAAGAGTGCTTTAGATGAATGCAAAACTAAACTTCAGAGTAGCAAACCAAATGTACAACGAACCAAAGAAGCCTGTACAGTTTTCTTAGTCACTGATCCACTATTAACAGGTTTACTCTGTTTATCTAATGTAACCCTTATATAAAGTAATAAAACCATGTGTGCTAACTTCTACTAGGTTGAATGAGCAAAAACACCTCCTATACTTTATTGTTCCTTTTTTTTGTCCATGACTAATGCCTCTGATTTACAGATTGGGCAAGTGTTCTTAATAACCAACCACTTCTTAAAGCATTGTGCATGGTACTCGTGCCTACAATCCTGCGCTGCGATCTTATCTTGGTTCCTCTAGTTTTTTTGGTAATTCACAATTAGAAAAAAAATGAGAGCTGTGTGTTTGTGTGGAATGTTTATTTAAGCTTTGAGGATGCAGTCTCTCAGATTTTTATTGGCTTTAACTGGCATATCGTCCAAGAATCTGTTTATAGAATGGCTGATGGAGCTTCTTCCAGGTTGATTTTGGTCGACAAAGAGGTTCTTCTTTTCAGAAGATTTGTAACATATTCTTCTGACAAGCCAGTCTTGAGAGTTCCAAACTTCCAATATGGTCGCTCAACGCAAGAAGCTCCTGATGTGTAATAAGAAAACCAATGTGTATTCAGTAAATATCTATAAGGTGAACCTTAATCATGGAGATATTTGGTATGGAGTAACCGTGGACTCACCTAATATGTCATGTCCCTATGTCCAACCGCATGTCTTGATGATGATCAACATAATTAAACAGCATCGTCAAAATCATCTACCTCAAAAACTAGGCCTGGGCGTTTTTAACTCAACCCGAAATACCGACCTTAACCCGAACCGGAAAAACCGAAACCGAATCCGAACTGTTTTACAAAAATATCCGAATGGGACTTATGAGCTTAGTACTTTGGACTATGGTTATAATCCGAACCGAACCGAAATCCGAATTAGAATCCGAAGATATCCGAAATTAGTTAAATATGTTAATGTTTTCATATATGTTAAGGTGATTTAGATATTTTAGAGTATTCAAAATATTTTTGTAGTTTGTTTTATTTGTTATTTTGAATATTGTTTAGTTAATTTAGATAGTTTAGCTAATTTTTAATTAGATTTGTAAATAATTTATATATTTTGAAACATTTTTTTGTCAATTTTCGAGGTTTTAACAAATATATTTTTGGACGATTTTAAACATTGGTTAGATCCGATCCGAACCGAACCCGGAAGGAACCGAACCGAATCCGATCCGATAATTAGTAAAAACCGAATGGTACTTGTGAGCCTAACACCGAAAATCCGAAAATCCAAATAACCCGAACCGAAACCGAATGGGCCACCGAACGCCCAGGCCTATCAAAAACTGCAGCCTCCTACACATATTAATAGAAAATCCAATATTAACGAATAAACATTCTTGAACAAACTGACACTAGAAGATGAAAAATGTGCTCAATATGATATTACATCAGCGGGAACTGACCTAAGAGATCATTCAAGAAGAAGCAGAAAATTTAAAAGAAACGGCAGAAAGACAATGCTGAGAATAAGGAGTATAACATGCATGTAAGGTGCCCACGTTGGTTGGGGCCAAAGCGAAGAGGACCCATATATTGCATGTGAATCATATCAGTAGTAAGAATGTAAGATTGATCTATCCACATCATTTAACTCCCAAAAATTAAACGAAACAATCACTGTAATATGCTGGATTTTATATGCTCTTCTAGGTTATACATAGGATAGATTTCTACAAAGTTTTGAAACTATTACTTGTAGTCTGTAAACCCTCGATCTATGGTGTATACCATGAGATGGCCTAGGTGTCAATATCAATTAAGTCATTCACACATAACATAATTGCTAAATATGTGACGCAAAGCTAAAGTTTGATCACATGATCAAATCCCACAAAATCAACATCCAACCTCATTCAAATAGCATTCGTCTCACTTTATTAGTACTTGATTAGAAAAATGTCTTAAAAGAAGCTAATAGTTGATTTAATTATTAGAAATACCTCGCGAAGTGTCATTAAAAGCATAACATGGCAGTGTTGATCAGCTTATTAAATGTATGTTTTGTTTGGTTCTCATCCTTAAATGGTCCAGTCAAACTCATCTCTCCCCTGCCACCCTGCGCGTGTCGTCTAACCGAGTAACGTAAGCGACATCAGCATTGTCTGGGACCGGAACATTCTGTTTCTTTTCAATTCTTCAAAAACTTTTGTTCTGGTAAAATGTTATTTGGTGAGTCAGTAAAAGTCTTCCAAGTAGAAACGTTTTCCTAGCTCTTTTGTTTCTTCTAAAGATCTAGTAAGTTCTACTCTATTATTTATGGGGACCAACGAGCACATGTTTTAGTTATTGTCAGTTATATCACGCAGGTCTTCTCTGTAAACAATTTGATCTATTAAATAAAGGTGAATCGTTATTAGAAGTTAGAACGCATGTTAATGCAATGGTATGACCTGTAGTGTGGTCCTTTAGTCTTTTAATGGTCTGGTCAAACTCCTTTCGTCTGTCTCTATGACTGCCACATCACCCAACCATCTTCCTCCATTTCCTGTTTAATTTACCATTACCCTCCACGGTTCATTACGGAGCTTACCCGCGTATGTTTTTTTGAAGCCATTCTATTCTTTGTGACCTTTTTTTTGGGTGTTAAACTCTTTGTGACTTTACCCAATTTAATGCTCATGCAGCATTGTTATTATAAGTAAATGGATCACTTGAATACAAAATTCAGAGCATACTTTAAAGTAATAACCACGTGTCTGTGGTTGGATGGTACCATGGCGTTCCATAGATTCTACGGAACGTGAGTTCGAATCCGCCTATACTAGTATACCACAGTGCGTGGCCACCGGAATTTTCACATTCTTTCTTCCGGGGAATGGTTTATCATTTTTTTTTACTTTAAAATAAGTAGTATATTTGTACATGGAAATGCCCATTTTAACATCATGGAACATTCATAGTATATTTTTGGGAGTATAAGTTGTTTTATCAATGCTTTTTGTTTTGTTTTGTTTTGTAACTATTGATCATCTCTAATTTAACTTTACTAATGTATAGAACCATATATGTATGTGTGCTATCCATCTGATCAGACCAATGATCATCTCTTTTACTTCTAAAACTGAATCATGAGTATTCCTCTGATTAATTGACCATACTCTAATTCGGAACAAACATAAATGGTGAAAGAAGAAGGGAGTGGGTCCGACTCCTTCAAATGCTACAAAAGCGACAAGACGTGCCCTTAGTTCCATGTCTCCACAAGAAAGAAGACAAAGTGAGAAGTTCACGACAAGCAAACTCAACATTAGACTAAATATAAAACCATTATAACCAAAGCTTGCAAGTGATCGGACTACCGAGAGATAGGATCCTAACATCTATAACCAGCCATATCAACTGGACGTACTATTGACCAATCAATAAGCAATCTGAAATGATAAACATCTATATTCAATCTTGAGAGGCTTGAATTATTATCATTTTGATAAAATCCATAACATTAGATAAAAGAGAAGGTATTCTCCGTATATACTTCGAGATAATACATATTACAATTTGCAGCCAACTTGTGGCTGTGGGTAGAAGTTTTTATACTGTATTTAGTATAAATATAAGATTATTTACAATTTTCCAAAAGTCCACTTGCTCCTAATTACCATCCAAGATCCACATCCCCTATGCACATACATGCATATATCTTTCAAGATAGATCACCGAAACATTTGCTCCATCCATGGGGTCCAAGAATCTAGATACGCGAAAAAAATCTTTTAGCTTTCGAAATTTTACACAAAAAAAGTCATATATTTCAAAACAAAACTTTACATTATATAATATTCACCAAAAAAATCCAATACATGCAAAGACACAAGAGACATGAGTGTCTGAGTGTTTGTGTTCTCGGGAAAGCCAATACCCTTTAATGTGTGTGCACATGTGTGTATGTATACGAAGAACCCTTTTGAACTCATGGGCCACAATCACTTGATACTTTCACTCCTCACCAATTATTGATTTTTCTTTCTAAATGGTCTCATTCAAAACTACAACAACTAACTTGGATTAGTCAAACAAACACTCAAAATCAGATCAGATCTAAGGGTACTTTTGTAATTTAATCCTCAACAAGACCCCCCTTTAGTCTCTCGTTTCCGTTACACCGAAACAAATACTATCTCCAAAGACCAATGGCTACTTCACTCTCACACTAAAACAAAAAAAAAACAATGCCGAATACTTAACAAAACCCTCCATGGGCCTCTCTTCTCTCAGCCCCGCAACCTCCACCTCTCTCACCACCTCTCTCAGCCGTCGTCTCCGCACGAGCAGCAGCCTAAAGAACGTTTCAACCGGAGTTCTCAACTTCCCCATGTTCGGCGCCAATATAGGACGTAAGAGATCTGGATCTGGTCAAGGAAACAAGAACGTGGAGCCATCGTCTCCGAAGGTGACGTGTATCGGTCAGGTCAGGGTAAAAACTAGGAAGCATGTCAAGAAGAAGCTGAGAGCGAGATCTAGAAGAGAAAGTCAGACTAGCCTGAGAAGATCTTCCTCAAGTGATCAAAACGACGGAAGTGGACGTCGTTTTGATGGGAGCGAGAACCGTTGGGTTCATATTCCTGTGAGTATATGTGAGTCGTTGAGAACGTTAGGCTCAGAGCTTAACTGCTTATTCCCTTGTAGATCCTCTTGTACGGATCATAGTCACCACGAAAGAGGTAGAGATGAGAATAACTCGTGTGGTGCGGTGTTCACGCGGTGGTTTGTGGCGGTGGAGGAGACGGGGAGGGAGATTGAGCTTGTTGTTGGCGGTGAGGAGGATATGAGGAGGAGGAGGAGGAGTAGCCGGAGACATGTTTTTGAGAATCTTGATTTAAGTATTATAGAGACGAAGACATGTCCTCCGCCGAAGAATGCTTTATTATTGATGAGGTGTAGATCAGATCCGGTTAAGGTGGCGGCGTTAGCTAACCGGGTTAGAGAAAGACAGATGTCACTAAACGACGTCGCATATGGTAGAGACGAAGAGGAGGAAAAAAATAACGAGAAAATAAGGTTTGAGCTTGATGACTTGGAAGACAAGAAGCGGATCGAGTTATGTAATAAAAGGGTTTCCGACAAGATTCCTGTTACAGAACCAGAAGATATGTCCGAAGAAGAAGAAACTGAAGCCATGATCATTAAAACCATCGAAGACAATATCAAAAACGCCATAGAGGAAGAGGAACGCAAAGAAGTTAAAAGATCCGATCAAGAACCCGACCAGAGTTTAAAAGAGAAGGATACGACGCCGTATAAGGTGTTACCGGATTGTTTACTGTTAATGATGTGTGAGCCAAAGCTATCAATGGAAGTCTCCAAGGAGACTTGGGTCTGCACTACAGATTTCGTTAGAAGCAAACCGGGAAGACCTCCGGCGAAGAAGATACCGGAACCTCCCGGAGATCTTAATCATCAAGAAACCAAGAAACGTATTGTTACCGCCGTTGAGTCCAACTCATCTTCTCGCCGGCGTTCAGTGGATAAACGTCCGGTTCACCGAGGGGTGTTGCAGCCGCCGCGGTCATCTTGCTCATATCCGGCAGCTCCACCGGTGATAACGGCGGTTGGAGAGGAGAAGGTAGAAGGAGCTAAGGAGCTATCAGTGCTGCCACGTTGCAATTCCGAGCCGAGGAAGTCGGGTTCGAAGCTTGCGCCGGAGAGTTGTTTATGGAAAAACCGGAAGATGGAGACGCATTCTCCGGTTACTGTCGGAATCGGCGCCGCCGGAGTAGGGTTCTAGAAGGTAGACTTGAGTGGGAATAAAAGAAACTGTTTGGGTGTAATAGTAATCTCAAAATACTATCTGTCCTTGTTTGTAAATTAGTTTTGTACTTTTGTTAGTCATCATGATTAATTTATTTCTTCTATGCTAATGTTTTTTCATGAAAATCTGTACACTTCTTTTGTCCGTTAGTTGTCGCAATATTGTTACATGTTTCATAGTACAAAATACAAACACAATGACCTGGACTAATCAACTGAACTTTGATCCTCACTGCTTTTACTTTACTTCACTGTTGTAACCTGATTAGTCTCCAGGCTCTGTTGTGGCCCTGCATGGCTTCATCAGACTCTTCACTGAAGGCTAGCTGACCAAAGTTGCAAGATAGGATATTCCAGTGATGATCGTCTTGCAGAGAAAATGAAGACTTGGGTTAAATAAATTACCAGAATGGCTTGAGATGAAAACGGACTAAAGCTTATATAATATACCTTACAGTTACCGTGATTTGCCTAACCTGCAAAGAGATAGAACACACATTTATATAAAGCTTTTGTCAATGTTTAAGGGTCTCAAGAAGATTAGGTCTTTTCACTCAATGAATGTATAACTAGTTATAATTGCACACAGAATGTCAGAAACCATGGGTGTGGCTAGACTCTTATTGCACACAAGCAATGATCAAAAGAGTATATTGAGACCATGATGATTCTTCTTCTATCACTCAATGATGGGCATTTGTAGATATTTAGACCATGATGATATATATCCTGTTATCCTTATCTTTTTGATCTCTCAATAATGTGCATTTACTGCTATTGGGAGTTTGGGACCATGATGATACTTGGAACGCAAGGTAACGCTACTTGACAGAAACAATGAACTCTAACACAAGCAATGAGGATGAGCAAAGACAAAAGAAGTAACTAGCCGAGAAGTTATAGTTTGACGACTGGGCCCTGACTCAATAGTAACAGTGAACTTATATAGAATCAGAGCAATGATTCCTGCTGAGACCGCACCAAGAAACGCCTGAGCCGCCGATGTACTCGACTTACCACCTTCTTCTATCCGAGCTGAGTTGCAACGTTTTTTTTTTATAATACTACAAAATATCCACTTCTATTGATTGTTTTATCCACTTCTATTGCATTCTTCTGCACATAAACAATTATTCCAAGCTTTCAGCATCAAATTATCAACACATTGTTATGATTATAGTTTGTTTTCTTACTTTTGGTAAAAAAATAAATGAACCGTTTTTGAACCAAAAAAATGAACGAAAGAATATAGAAATGAGTGTTATATTATTAGAGAGTCATTAGTTGTCAAAGGAAAACGAAAGATTGTTTCAGCATTCTTGTCGAACATTACTTGCGACGGTTCGAGCCCAAAACTTTAACTGAGCTTTCATGTCTCTTCTTGACTCCTTTGGAACCCAAACTGGAATAGGCTGACCCACCACCGCTGCAGACCGGCTTTTCACGGTTGCGCGTGGGATCCTCCTCTGTTCTTCATCATCATCTTCTTCTAATTCAGTAATGTCCAATTCCTTCATCATCAGAAGCTCTTGCGTATCGACGCTGCTTAATGTCTTACGCAGCGTCTTACCACTTGGGTTTCTTTGTGACTTGGTGACCATTTCTTGAATAGCTTCTTCTGATCTTGAGTGTCTCGGTGGTTTAGGCCTTGGAATGCTTGAACTCTGCACCAAGTTATGAAACTTTCTCAGCATGAAAGATTCAATAGCAATCATAGAAAAGTAGAAAATAACCAAAATAAAAATAAAATAAGAAGACAATGAAAAGAAGAGATCACCTTTGGTGTGTTCTGTTTCGTTGGAGTTAACCCTGAAGACGAGCTAGCTATGGCTTCACGGATCAAGAATCCCATTCTAGAATCGTCAATGTCTTGATCTTGAAACTCATTTCCAACATCTTCTCTTCCTATGTAACTCGGTAACGTCTGAGTTCTCTGCAAACTCCCTCCCATCTGACAACACTGGCCGAAACTACTGTTATTACAACCAGTTCTGTTCTTTTTAGAGCTTTCTCTAATTCCCTTCTCTCGTACCACAGGTTCCTTCTTCTGCAAGTAAGTTCTTCGTTCTTGAACCCTAATCTTCTCAGAGAACTGCCTTCTCATCTTGTTTATCTTCTCAGGCTCGCTTCCACCTTCTTTATTCACAATACTTGGTGGTGAAACCGATTCTCCCCCGGTATGAGCTTTAAGAAGCTTCTTGTCTGAATCCAAATCTCCGGTTTTCGATGATTCGGGTTTTAGACAAGTGTAAGAGGAAGAAGGAAGAGAAACAGGGTAAGGATCTGAATGGCAGTACCTCAAGATTCTTGATCTTCTGTCAAGTAAGTTATCAAAGAACCAGAAATCTTCAAGAAGTTCATCAATAGCTTCGATTTGTTCCAACTCTTGATGATCAATCGAAGTAGGATCCATTTTTTTTTAATTCAGACAAAAGAGATAGCCAAAAGAGATAAGTATTTGTTCTTTCTTTCTTTCTTCTTCTTCTTTGTTCTGTTTGTATTTGAAGCATAGATTCTGGAGACTTGTTAAGAGGTGCCCATGTGGGCAACCATTCAGCATTTATTTTCAAATATTAATTTTAATGTTTTATGTGGAGTCAGATTTTTGTTTTATTGCATAGAAAGAAAAATGGAAACAAAGAAATCTGAGTGAAACAAAAAGGAAATAATTTGAGACTTAATTCCGAATACATAAGACTTTTTCATGTTTCAATTATTCAGGTCCTGGAGTCTTTGGGGTCAATAAATAATTTTAATGTTTTGTGTGGAGTCAGATTTTTGTTTTATATTACATAGAAAATGAACTAAACAAAGAAATTGAGTAAAACAAAAGAGGAAATAAATCGAGACTTAATTTTGAATATAACACTCTTTCATGTCCAATTATTCAGATCTTGGAGTCTTTGGAGTCAATGAATAACTTCCAATAAATAATATTGACTCAATTATTTCAATATTATTGATAAATACCGTTTTTTTCATTTAAGAATATAAACTAAAACTGTGGAAGTCACTTTAGTCTATCATTTGATTAAAAATTCATTAATACTTATAAACTAATAACATTTAAAGTTTGAGTCTTAGAAAATTCTTATTTATTTAGTTAACAAAGACCAAAGGTAGTTTTGGAAAAGAAAACAATAATTAAGTGGATAAATATAACTAAATTATATAAACAAATGGAAATGATTTCTGGCAACAACTAAGGAAAAATAAGGTTTCAAAGAAAGGGATGATAGCTAAGAAACGGCATAATAAGCCCTGTCATGACAGTCAACATGCCATGTGATGCATAAACGAAAATGTAACAAATTGGTTTCTACTCCATATAATAGTATAAAATACAGTTTTTTATTCCATATATATTCTTTGTTCTCCATCGCCTCCTATGCGACAGCTAAGAGTTATAGTAACCTAATAAATACAAAGATTTTGATAAGATATTAAGAAACATGTTATGTAAAAGCAACAAAGTCTCGAGCTCTGAACCTATCTTGTTCCCCAATTATAGTCTTACATTGCATATGCTCTATAACTAACACTAATTATGCTAATCCGCCGTAATCTTTATTACGTGGCATGTTGCTAAGGCTAATTAGTGATGGATAGGGAGTGAAGTTAGCTGCGTACCTAAACATTTGTCGAGAAAAGAATCCTTCAAAGTCCAAAGAAATAAGGTGAATAACATCACAGTAAATTTTAAGAGAGCAATCAACTAGCGACCACAAGCTACTGAAATAACTGCGTGCGTCTACTGCTAATATAAATGACATGCAGTCTCTAAGGGTGAGACCCAACGGTACCGGCTCGGTGCAAACCATTGTACACATGTAAACTGATCAATTTGGGCCGACGCTTGAATGCAGAAGCCCAATTTAGTCTCAGATCGGGCTTTAACACTGCATGCCCTGTTTAGTACGTAAACGACGAACACGTAGTTAAAAGTTAAAACTATTCGAACGTGAGACAAAGGATGGAATGCAGTGTAAAGTTACGGATCACTCCCAGAAACGACGTCGTCTTGGGACAAATAATGTTGCTTGCAAGTTGCAAGAGATGTAAAGTTGTATCATTCTTATCAAAGAAAGTCTCTTAATTTGTTGTTCACTTGTTGTTATGAATGGTGTTTCATAACATTTCTTCCATTTGGACTAATCTCTACCGGTTAAATCCGGTTCCAAATTGAATCCGGTTTTGTGTATACATCTGCAAAATACTTTGTACATATCCACAAAATGTAGGTAGAGTTATTTTTGGGGAAGCATAGAGGTGAAAATTTGCAGGAGATGGGAGAAAGATGCATGCAGAGAAAGTAAAGATGGGAATGTGATTTGATGTAAAAGCCTGTGAGGACGTTTCCTTGTGACAGACACAACGCGTCTATATCCGGTCCGTTCGTTTCTTCTTCGAGACACTGATAGATAGATGTGATTGCTTCTTCTTGATTTGATGCATCCATGCTCTTCCTTTTCCTTTACGTGTCTTTTGTGTTCCTTGTAATAAAGTTTTATCTTGAAAAACATTAACGCGTATACAATTTTTTGTTTTTTGTAACTTCTCTTTCTGATGATGTTAAAACTTTCGTTCTCCTGAGATTTCAATGTGTGTATAGAATTTTTCGTAACAAGAATCTTATTTATGGTGAAGTTAAGACTGTACAGTAGATAAACCAACTATTCTCCAATATCTATTGGCTTTGTTTTTTTTTGCCAATATCTATTGGCTAGCAAACAAAAATAAAGATTTAGCTGACGTAGAGTCTCCTGAGATTTCTAGTCACGCACGCATTGCATGCTTAAAAGACAAATGTTTAATTATATTTATCCTAGATCTTAATACATTTTCAGCGATATAAATTACATGCATATACACACGCATCATATATATATATTTATATTCGTTTTGTGTGGTGTAGTGTACACATCAACATCAACTCTATCTGTCACTAGCTACTGTCCAATATCACATCAGTTACTTGTACAACAAGAGAAACACAGATCATTTACAAAAGGACCCTTGTTCACCTTCCTTTATCTTTAAACATTGGAAAAATCTAGGGTTTTGTTGGCTTGTGTGTTTCCCACAATGGATATGGATATCTTCAGTGGTTGGGAGAGATCATCAAGATATGAAGATGAAACCATAATGCCACCTGGGTTTAGATTTCATCCTACAGATGAAGAGCTCATCACTTACTATCTCCTCAAAAAAGTCCTTGACTCCAGTTTCTCTTGTGCTGCCATCTCTCAAGTTGATCTCAACAAGTCTGAGCCTTGGGAGCTTCCTGGTAATCCCACCAAAACAATACCACACCCATTTTCTCCTCACTTGCTTTATTAACACCTCTGCACTAGCTGGTTAACCACATCTCTGGAATCATGTCTTAAAATCATCATTATTGGTTTATAGTTTCAGACTTTTACATAGCTTTAGACTTAACCATTGCTTGAACCTCTGAAGTTTAGATTTTTCTCTTGTCAGAAACCTTTATATAGGAGGAAAAGGGTCTTCCATGCAAAGAATTTTTTATAAATTATAATTCTACTAAATCTGATATGAAAGCAAACTTATAATAAGCTCTCTACCTAGTCCTAAATGATTACAAGTCTTTGTTACTCTGTTCTAAAACAGAGCCTTACTTAAATCATCTCTTTTTGAAAAACCTGTTTGAGCAGAGAAAGCGAAACTAGGAGAGAAAGAGTGGTACTTTTTCACACTAAGAGACCGTAAGTACCCAACGGGACTGAGAACGAACAGAGCAACAGAAGCTGGTTACTGGAAAGCAACTGGTAAAGACAGAGAGATCAAAAGCTCAAAGACAAAGTCGCTTCTAGGGATGAAGAAAACACTTGTCTTTTACAAAGGCAGAGCTCCTAAAGGTGAGAAAAGCTGTTGGGTTATGCATGAGTATCGCCTCGACGGCAAATTCTCTTACCATTACATTACTTCTTCCGCTAAGGTAAACTCTTTTAAAAAACCTTTTTTCTATGATAATAATATGTAACAAACACAATCAAAACGTTACTTTATGTTTTGTTTTTATATAGGATGAATGGGTTCTCTCTAAAGTTTGTCTGAAAAGCAGCGTTGTTAGTAGAGAGACGAAGTTGGTCTCTTCCTCTCATGTTTCCGTCACCGGAGAAGTCTCCTCCGGTGTTAATGTTTCATCTTCCGCTGGATCTTTGATTGCTCCGATCATTGACGTCTTTGCTACGGAGCACGTGTCCTGTTTCTCCAATACTTCTGCTACAGCTCATGCCGATGTGAGCTTTTCTAGGTACCTTCCCGCTCCACTGCCACGTCAGCTAGGTGATGACGTGGCGTTTGGTCAGTTTATGGATATGGGATCTTCAGGGCAGTTTAACGTCGACGACGCGGTGTTCTTATCGAAGCTACCTTCTCTGCCTCCGACGGTTCTTCCTCCGTTGTACGGTGGTTCAGCTCTGAGTTTCTGGCCGTTTGCCATGTGATGATCGTTATGCTGGTTGGTTGTATTAGTCTCGAACCATTTCTTTTTGTTGTTGTATTGTGTTACTGTTACATTAGTACGTGTTTGTAATGTCTCTACGCGTATTGTAACATGACTTCTTCCTCTCGGATCATTTGCTTGTCGCATTATATTTTGTAATGTCTTTCGCAAGACTTCTATGTTAATTTCGCATTTGCTTGTCGCATTATGGCTTAATGTCTTTATAGTTTAGATTACATCTCATCATCCTCAACATCTACAAGAATCTGTTGTGTTTCGATACATACATTGATATTAAACTCCAATAGCGACATATATTTAACAGGTCTTGGAAGCAGATGCTGTACCTGGTGAGATTGTCACCGTGGATACAAGAACACTGGTGCGCGTAGGAAGTCTCGCTTGAGATCCACCATGGTTGGTACGTACCTGACACAGCAACAGCTCCACCAGAAGAAACGATCACCATGGATAGAGATAATGGTTTTGTCATATATAATTCAATCGCTTCCAGACTATTCTTGTGTATTTGTTATGTCTAAGATTCTTGTCTTCATCTGGTTTAGTAAGATCTCAGTTTTGGCTCTGACACCATTCCTCTCGACATCATTTCTCTATAATAACTCCTTGCTTCTCATGCTTTTCTCTTTGTGACCACGCCATGAACTCTAATAGTATATGTTATTTGATCCGGTCCTAAGCCACTCCCCTCAAGTGTCTCTTTTGCTTTCTCTTCATCGTCCAATTGCACATACGGCCTAAACATCATATTGTACAAGTCTCTTGTCATTTCACACATGTTCCTCGCCATCCTCTCCAAAACTGATTCAACATCCTTAGGCTTCTGAGAATATTTAAGTAACTGAAAGTAACATTTATGAAAACTTTAATAAAAATTAAAATTTTAAACAAAATACAATATTTATAAATAAGTAATAAATATCATGCTGTAAATTTCTACGGTGGCTCTTTATGATGTTATGTACATCGATAGCAGATTGCTTGTCTTCGTCATCGAAGTGTCCAGTTGTGTTTATGTCGAACCTGCAAGAGAATGAAGAAAGTGAAATCCAAAGAGAGTTGTGTTGTTGTTCTTATGATTCGTTTTCTCTAAAGGAAAGAAACAGATGAGCAAGAGGAGATCCGTCATCATCGATATATAGCATTTTGTAGCTAAATATGATTTTCATTTTTACAAACTCACTTTTGGACATTCTAAAGGAACAAGGTTCGGTTCCTGCTGATAAAATGAACATGGACCTATGTCTGAAGCCAATGTATGAATAATAAGTAATTTGCATTACAGTAACATTTTCAAGTGGTTAGTGCAATAAGTATATACAAATAATCCATTTTCAAGTGGCTGATTTACCAATATGTAAATTCTCTTAGAATCGCAAATTTTTTTGTGTAAGAATCGCATTATTTTTAGGGATATCCAAATTTTTTAAAGATGGTAATAGAAAATTTTAGTTCTTGTATTTCATTTAATTCTTGTCCCAGACAAAAGAAAAACAAATTTTGTTTATGTTTAAGAAAGGTAGTCATCTTGATATTATGTCGACAGATTTGCTTACAAGCTTATACAAACCAAGTTTAATATGTAGACAGAATAAATTTGATTATACATAGGTTTAAATATTGTCATAGACTCATAATAGTCCATTATTTTTTTATTATCTATTGGAAGAACAGATAATGTATAAGCAAATGGTATGTTTATTTTATATTCCAGAGTTTGTGGCCCGAGGAAACTCAATCCACTACCCAATCCACTATCCATGCGTGAGAACGTGTGTAGAGCTGTTCGAGTACAAATAGTATACATAAGCGATAAAAATATATAACTTTATTCATAAAAAATGTCTTACAAATATCATTATTGTTAAAAAAAATGACAAACGAAATAATATTTTTTAACAACTTTTCATTTTTTTTTTCAAATTCATTGACTAGAATTCGAAAATCAATATGTAAGTTTTTTTAATAGATAAGATAGGTAAGTCACTTAATTTTTTTTGTGATATACTTGAATACGTATAAGATTTTATCAATCTCAGTTTTGAAAATTTCTTTCCAACAAATGCAATCTAAACTAGTATCTTTCGATCAATATATTAGATTATGATCATTAATCATGATTAGGCAAACCATATAAAACTATTCAAACATTTAAAACTAAATAATAAAGTAACTGGAAAGAAGTTAATTATAATGATCCGTGAGATGAAAAGTTTTGTCAATATAAAAATATTCAACTTTTGAAAATAACTTAGTAAAAAAATATGGTAAGTCGACAATAATGTTATATTTTTTTGTTGCGCTAACTTTTTTTATAAGATTAAAAACTGTTTTAAAAACTCTTCACTAGTAATTTAATAATAGACTAATATGTTTTTTCAGTTATAGCCTATATTTGACATTTTAACATCTTAAACTTAAGTTCGTATTGATATTTCTATTAGTTAATTTAGCAAGTACGATCTATCTCTCTCTAGTTTTTTCCTCTCCCATCTCTCTAGAAGCTCGCCGTGGAAAAGTGGTTTCCGGCCGACGGAGTGGGCTTCCACAGCCACCGTCGGTCCGGATTTTGTTTTCTAGTTTTTTGGTCGTGCATGTTTCGTCTCGGAAGGACAGGAATCGATGTGTTCCTTCTTCTGTTATTTTACTGACTCCGGGATGCGGAGGCTTCTAAAGCTCCGTCGTCGCCGGCTTTGACTCCGGGGGGTAAAGGTTCAGTGCTTTGCGTCGCCGGCTTTTGTTTTTCTTCTCTATAGGGTGTTGTTATCTTTCCTGTGTCCATGTCTGATCGATTTGATTTCGACGGCTGAGATCTCGATTTGATTGATTGATGCTCGCCGGTGTAGAAGTCATCGATCTATTTGAAGTTTTACTTCTGTGTGTGGTGGTTAGTGCTCGGATGAGATCTCGAGTTGTTTCGATGAAGCTCTCCGGGGGTTTAAAGCTGGTTGGGTTACTTGTTCGTGGTTTGGTCCCGGTGGATTCCGGTGGTCGTCGGTTCTGTTTTCTCCGGCGACGTTAACTCAGACGGTGGTGTCGGTGGTGCCTATGACGTGTTTTCTCGTTGATGAGGACCTAAACACGTGTCCGTCTCCCTCTTGACGCGTGTTTCTTCATGAAGCCGGTCGGTTGTTGGGTTGGGCTGTCGGCCCATTTCTTTTTCTTTTATATTGTACTTTTACTATATCTGTGGGTTTTATGTTTATGTGTAATATGGGCTTCGGTTGTATACTGTATGGGCTCTAGCCTTTATAAATAAAAGATGGCAAAAAAAAAAAAATAATTTAGCAATTACTCCCTCTATTTTAAAATAGATGATGTTTAGAGAAGTTTTTGATGTTTTAGTATAGATAATGTTTTCACATTTCAATGTAGCTTTTAACTTTATCAACAATTGTATAACCAATAATATTTGTAGTATATTTTGTAACTGGTTAAATATTTGTTAATCTATATTTTAATCATATTTTTTAATTTAAAATCAAGTTTCTTAATAGTGCTATCCTAAAACATCAACTATTTTAAAAATGGAAGTAGTAATTAAATACATGTTATTAATTTTTCCCTCTGTTTCTGAACAAGTGTCGTTTTGTAACTTTTCACACAGATTAAGAAAGTAGCTGAAATATATGCAAGATATTAGTCTCTCTATTTATAAATAAATGTCATTCTACCATTTTTTTCTTGTTTCAAAATAAGTATCATTTTACATTTTCAATGCATTTTTTCGCACATAATCTATTTCTTACCATTTTAACCAACCAATAAATGTTTGTTAAAATTGTTTTTATTTAAATAATTGTATATTAAATAAGGGTATAATAGTATATTTTCTCATTTTCTTAATATGTGTGAAATGTGTCAAAGTGACACTTATACTGAAACGGATGGACTATTAATTATGTCTCTCTGACCAATAGTATCTGAGATAAATAATAATTTATAAAACTAATGCAGTTTTTAATTAATTTTCAGATGAAATTAAATCTAAATTGCATTTGAATTGTAAAATGACATTTTTTACAATAAGAAAAAAAAGTTAAAATGACACTTATTATAAAATAGAGGGAGTATTATTTTTCAATTTTACCATATTGTTTAAAGTGATGTCTAAGCCAATGTTTCTTTTAGCAATGAGGAAGGACGGCGCTGAAGATATGTAGCTGTCGTTAATTAAAGTCAATTAACTAATTTAATTAAGTAATTAGTCTTTAATTTTTAGGCACACGTCTCGCTGCCGTCAAAGTAATTACCGTCTTTTAGGAAACAAGAGAAACGAAACAGACGGCGGGCCCACCGCCGTTAGAATCTCGGTTAGCCGACGCAGCCACCATTCTCTCTCCTTGTCTCCCCTTTAGATATTCTACACGCGTCGCACTAATCACGTGGCGCTATAGATCTTAAAGATAAATACTTCAAATTTATTAATTCTTTAATTTTAGTAAGTGCGCTAGTGGGCCATGATGGATTTATATTACATTTGTCAGAGGAGCTGCTACATAGCTTTGTTTTTCTTTTATTTTTAATGAAACAGAAATGAAAAAACAGTCAAACTCAGCGTTGAACTAGAACAGAGTTGAACAAGTCTCTCACGCGGTTGCCGTCGGCACATGTTTGGTACTGTAAATCACGCGCATGCATGTAATACATTGTCCAAATTTCTTCTATATATTACCCTCATTGTCAAAAAAATTCATCAGATATCAATCACTTTAATATATACAAATAAAATGGAAGAGAGTAAAAGACACCCTTAGCAAAAAGAGAAGAAGCAATGTTACTCTTGGACGAAATAATTTATAATGTGTAATAGAATTATTAAAATGTCCTATTTAAAAAAAATGTCCTAAAAATCTAGATATCTTTCTTCAAATACTGCCGTAATATGATTAATATTGCAAAATATGTCTTGATTTCATATGTTTCATAGGAAGATCTCTTTCCAATTTTAATTTTTTTTCATTAATACATTTTGGATGCAAAGGTAGAAATGTGTTATTATATAATTATTCATCAACTTGAAATAAAGGATAAGAAGGTATAATGTTATCTAAAGGAAATGTGTATTTAACTAACGTAGTTTACTAGTGTATCTATTTTTTTTAAAAAAAATATTTGAATGTTAACCCTTTGTACAAATGTATTTAAATAAAAAATGTATTTAAATTTTAAATTGCATATCTTTTCTATTTAAATATGTTTTTTTTTGAAATTTTCTGTTTGCGTTCTCCTACGTTATCAAGATTTTCTTTAATACATGAAATATAGTACATCTTTAATATTAACTATCAGTAGCAAAAATTAAAACGCTTGGTAATAAAAATATATTTTTTTTTGGACAAAGGTGATAAAAATCAATTAAAAAACGAAGGGTGGATAAAAAAACAGGATTCTTCGAAGGAGGAAACATACACACGTGGCTAAGGATAAGTGGAGGTTAAAAAGAAAACCATGAAAACCGCTGTTGTTGTAACCGAAGCCGCTAAAACCATCTCTCAGCCTCTCTTACTGTTCAAAACAAAGCGCCCCAAAAGGAGCGTCGCTTTTACTCTCTCTCCACCTATATATAACCAAACCCACCTTCCTGTCTCTTCCACCTTCAATTCTCACACCACCACCGTCGTAACTCTCTCTCTCTCTATCTCTAATTCAATTTTTAGTTATGGTCAAGATGGGTTTGAAACCCAACCCGGTTAACAATAATAATGCCATGGAGATCCGTTACAGAGGCGTTAGGAAGCGTCCTTGGGGTCGTTACGCCGCTGAGATCCGAGATCCGGGCAAGAAAACCCGCGTCTGGCTTGGAACCTTCGATACCGCCGAGGCGGCGGCGCGTGCGTATGACAAGGCGGCGCGTGAGTTTCGTGGTGCAAAGGCCAAGACTAATTTCCCGAATTATCTCGAGCTGAGCGAGAACGTTCCCGTCGGCGGTTTTGAGCGTAGCCCAAGCCAGACCAGCACCATCGATTACGGTTCTCCTCCGGCTTCTGTTGCACCGGCGACTGCTGTGATGGTTCCACCGCAGCTTGAGCTTAGCCTTGGAGGCAGCGGCGGCGCGTGTTATCAGATCCCGATGGCGCGTCCTTTGTATTTTTTGGACCTTATGGGAATCGGAACTCGTGTTCAGCCTCCGGTGAAGTGTGGGGCCCTAAGCGATTCTGATTCGTCTTCTGACGTAGATTTCGAAGGTGGGATGGAGAAGAGAGCTCAGCCGTTAGATCTAGACTTAAACTTGCCTCCTCCGTTGGAACAGGCCTGAGCTGTTGGATGTGTCGTTTCATCTCGAACGCTCATGCGTTTTTTTTTTTATTTGGAGCTGAGAGAACTCGTTTACTTTGCGTAGTTTTTTCTTCTCTCACACTCCATAATAAAAAAATTATCGGTTTTTAAATCGAGATAGAACAAAAATATAATGATAGCTGATATGGATCGTTATGTACATATTATTACATAACCGGAGATCTGAACTTTTGTTGTGTTTTTTTTTTGCGACTTGGTTTCACCATGTTGTTCCTATGTAGGTTCTTTTTTTTATTGTCTTCCAAATTTCAATTAATAATTTGGTATTTCAGAATTAGATTGTTCATGATTTTTTTTTTGGTCCACGGTTCATTTTTATATACAATATTTAACTATCGCTACTTGGAACTACTAACTAAACTGGCGGCATCTTTTATTGGCCTTATCGGTAATTGAAAGACTAAAACCATGTCTTCTTATTTTGGCAAAAATAATGGTAGTTGAACTATAAACAAAAGGAAATAAAAAAGTAATACTATTATTGTTAGTACTAAAAAGATAAAAGCTGGGTAACGTCGGCAAGTCTTAACTTTCCAGCAGACACGCAGCCGGCGTGTGAGGCCCTCCTTTTCTATGCGATTGTATGTTAGAAAAGTCTTAGCGCTTCCGTCACTACGTAGGGTCTACATACTTCCAATTGGCTAACAATACAAGTACATATAGACTCAAATTTCTTCGAAAACTTCGATATAATTAACAGCTCTGACACAGTGAACCTAGTTTTATCATTTGATTAGATTCTGCTTTTTTTTTTTTGAACAACTAGTACTCGGTTAGCAATACCTCCCCGTTTAAATTAATTGTAATATAACATCTCTCAGTATTATATCACCATCTTTTGTTATTAAACGAATTGAGTGGATTCCGAGTTGAATTGGACTAACACAACATCATTGTTGTAGCCGTTAAACTAATTGCGTAATTTATAAATATTATCCTGGCCATTCATTTCCTAGATGTGATAGTGGATTATGTTTGATTTGGAACGTAAACAAATTGTTATCATGAGAGTAATGATGGTGTGATGTGTTGAAAATAAAGAAAATGATGGTTTGGTTAGCTATGAATATGTAATGATATTAATCAGGAAAGAGTAATTGTTGTTTGTTTAAGTCAAAACGAAGACGTGTGAAAGGGTGTGTGAGAAGGCAGTTTCATAATGAGGGGCAGAGAACAGATACAGGTTTGATTGGATTCTTGTCTCCAACTTTGCAATCAAAAAGGAAATTGAACTATCCCTTCGTCCATACACAACGGTTAGATTCTCTTTTTCGTCCACGTGGATGGATCTCAAATATTTTGATTACAAATTTATTACACAAAAAATAAATAGAGGGAGGCGGCACCGACGGCCAAGCATCCAAATTATTAACGGTGGTGCCCACATTTCCACTTTTATTTTGTGTGTATATTAATGAAAATCATAGTACAAAGTATAATTCCAAAGTCATTTTCCTCTCAGAAGTATTACTAAATACTAATGGTGAGCAAAAGAAAATACAACTTATTTCATAATCTTTCCTCAACCACTTAGTTGTTGTGACAAGGTCATTAGTATTGTATAAATAATTTCACGAAAGAAAAACCTTCTAAAGTTATTTTTAAGATTTTTATAAACGATGACTTGACTTGTTTCCTTTCATAAAGACAAAACAAACTCCTTTACCAAAAAGCAGAAACTTAAACATATCGTGAGAGGCTGATATATACTTATATGCATACAACCGGTTAAGCATCCGGTTTGATATGTTAATGTATTTCACAAGTGATGATCAGAATGGTTATTGGAGAATAGATAAAAGCTTGTAATGAGCATCTGACGCGTGTGTAAGGGCATGGGATGTAAATTCCGTGTTCGCTAGGTTTATGTCGGAATAATGGGTTGTCTTCACGTGCATGTCCACCGTCCGATAAAAGGTTGATGCTCATTGTCTTTTTCATTATTGTTTTATGGCTATCCATAATCCATTTGTTAACGTGAAGGACTCCGTGGATTGAGGTATTTTCATCTCGGCCCCTCATCTCATTATCTGTGTTCCCTCACAACCCCACCTCTTCCATTTTATTTATATCAAAGAGATTAGATTATAATAATATTTATTCAAATTATTAAAACTCCACCGTTGATTAAAAAGGACTAGCTAGTACCGTAGTACGTATTAAGCAATGGTATTATGACATTATTAGAATTAATAAGATGCTTGTTGGTTGCAGATAAGCCGATCAAGAACACATCGTTCTTTAAAAACATTAGATCAAACGTATTAAAATAGTATTAATGTGAATGAATCATTTTTTTTTTTTTGTCAGCGTGAATGAATCATTTAAAAATGAAAAGACACGTGGGAAACAAAATTAACTGCGGCGGCCGCTTTTGCTCGGGTGGGACCTACGCGGCTCTGTCAAGGTCATCTAGAAACTCCATCTCAACCAACCAGATTTTTCCCTCCCTTATTCATTCCTCTTTCTTTTGGGATATTACGACTACAGACCTATGATTTATTATTTTCAAAAGTAACCCAAACTTATGGAACACTGAATTAAATTAAGACTTCCCAGATTATCTATTACAGATCCGGCAAATGCAGTTTCCGTATTAGTTTCAAACGTATCATTCATCGCCGGGATTTCATTGATTAGATTATGGAGAAGTTAATTTCTTAGCTAGTAGTTTTTGTTTATTTTCATTAAACTAAAACAGTTTTGATGCTTGAATGCCAGTGTACAAAAAAATATAAAAATAATTTCAGTTTTGTTTTGTAAAGAAAAAACAATTTCAGTTACATTGTCTTTTATTAAATTAAAGTTTATCTTAACGATAAAATAACTTCATAAAATTTGCACCACACAAACGAAAAATCACTGCTGGAAAAGTAAATGGAGTTTTGTAAAACAATTTCAATCACGACAGACTCGACAGTTGCTTCACCTGAACAAATGTTAGTAAGGTTCTGAATGGTGATTGCGGTTTGAGCGGTGCGAGACAAACGGTTTAACTGCGATGCGGTTCTAAGTTCTAATAGTTATAAATATATATAGATATATAGTATATATAGAAAATTTTGTTACTGTTAACTGCGGTGCGGGACGGAGCGGTTGTCACGATTCGAAGCTTAAGTGTGGAAACAAATGGCGCTGAAAATGTAGTAACAAGCCAGTGTGGATACGCGTGTAGTGGGTCCCCTACTAGTATAATGCTATGTTAGCGCTTCGGGACACGTGTTCGAGTTATGCTGGGAACTCTGCAAACCAAACAAAGACCACATATGTGTTCAAAAAAAAAAAAAAAAAAAAAAAAAAAACAAACAAAGACCACATATTCCATTTACATAGTTAATTATATATACACCATAACGCTTATAAGTTAAAAAATAAACAATTTTCACTTTTGTTCAAAAAAAAAAACAATTTTCACTATTATTGATCTTATTTTTAGAAGAAAAAAAACGATAATCATCGTCTGAATTTATATTATTACATATTTTAGTTTACTAGAAAACGCATTTTTCACCCTGATTTAGGTGGATAATTTTATATTATGATAAAGCGTAATTTGGGAAGTTGCCGTTACTGTTAAAGCGCCGTTAGCCGCGGCATATGAGTGTTGGTGATATGTCAGGTCAGCTGACTTGTCGTCTTTTCCATGAAATTTCGAGGAGAGGTTATTGGGCTTCACGTTTCCGCTTGACATTTACACTGGCGCCGTCAACTCGTTTTCATTTATTTAATGAAAAAAGAATTATGCAATTTGGCCTTTACGAACTTCTTATCGCCGCCCTGCACACTGCTCACTTTCATTTCTCCATAATAATAATAATAATACAAATTATATAACTGTTGAGTTTAGAATTATATAACGTCCCATTTATATATATCGAACCATTCAGTACGAAAAGGTAACATAAGTTTTGAAAAAGAATTCTATTTGTAATTATTGTACAGCCGAAAGTTTAGACTGTTTTGGTACCATTTGCCTTCATTAGGGGGACAAATAAAGTCTCAAACAAAATTAAATGGAAGAGATTCACTGTTTAATCTTCTAATCAATCTAGATTGCACGTCACTACATCAGGCTTAAAATTGGCAATGTGTTAGCATATTAAATGCATGGATTCGTAATTAACAATGACCTTCCACGTAAAATATGGTAATCAAAACTTAGCATACGTGCTTATTCCATTGATGAATACATTGTAACATAGTCGTAACTCCTCAAGATATTACCAAAAACAAACAAGACATAAACTAGCACAATGCAAAACAATGAGAAACAAACGGTGTCGTCATCATCACCATCTCCCACCGTAAGTTCACGAGCGGGGATTCTCTTGTCCATCCTGAAAACCAACCCATTCCGTAAGCTAACAACGGATGATCTCAATTCCAACCCCCCGCCGTTTAGCGTTTTCCGCGGAGGAACCGAACTGTACTCGTTCCCAACGTCACAGTCGGATGCAACGGAAAGAGTTCAAGAAAATGTCAGACACTTCATAGGAAACTACATTTCCGACTTCGTTGTATTTTTCTTGATATCTCTGTATAAGCAACCGATATCGTTTCTTACGCTGCTTGCGAGTTTTCCGGTTAAGGATTATCTTGACCATTTGATTACTAAAAGAGGACTTGATCAAGCTTACCCCTTCATTCGTCGTTTACTAT